ATAGCATAAGCTTCAGTCCTATGGAATAACCGGTCCTGCGCTTACATTCTTAAAAAATTACCTACTTGACCGACAGTACACAGTACACGCTGCAAATACCTTCTCTACAATAAAATATGTTAAGCAAGGAGTACCGCAGGGCTCAGTATTGGGTCCTTTGCTATTTATTTTATATATGAATGATCTTCCTGATGTTCTTAGTTCTTTTGACTGTGGTCACTGTGTTCTATACGCTGATGACACAACAATATCTTCATCTGATAAAAGCATTGATGCTCTTGTTTCAAAGTTAAATCTTGCATTAAGTGCCCTCATGAATTGGTGCAGCAGTAATCACTTAGTTATGAACCACACAAAAACTAAATTTATGGTGTTTAAAAGTGCTCAGAGGTCATTATCTACTATTCCCTTAATACAACTTGGTATTCATTCCATTTCTGCTTGTTCTTACGTCATCTTTCTCGGCATACAGCTTGACCCATGCCTTACCTTTCGCAGTCACTTTAACCATCTTAAGCAGAAGACGGCGTTTGGTATCCGCGCAATAATCAAAGCTTGCCTTTTCTTTTCCCGTGAAGCTCTACTGGCGCTGTATTTTGCGGTCCTTCATAGTCATATTACTTAGGGTGTAGTCTCATGGGGCAACACTTATGCTTGTCATTTATCATCAATACAGCACATTCAAAATCAGTCAATATGCATTGTCACTTCTAGTTCTTCGCAATCGAACGCCTACACATTACTACGCTCTTACAATATCTTGGCAGTAAATCTTTTGTTTTGGTTGAATATTGTGACTTTATTTTACAAATTGCTATATAATCAACTGGCATTCCCATTTATTGCATCTGATCTTTTGCAGAATAATAATGTGACCAGATTTGCGGCTGATAAAACTTTCCTGTTACTCCCCGCTCATACTAATTACGGGCAAAAAACTTCTGCTTTCAGTGCGATATTCTTTTGGAATGCGTAAACCTTTTAGCATTAAGTGTTGCACTTCATTTTCTTTGTTGAAAAAGTCCATCAAAAATCATTTTCTCAAATAACCATGCTTGTGATCGTTTACCTGTTTGACTCGTTTGTTCTTCGGTCTTTTTATACCATGCTGCGTGTTTTGGCTTGATTTTTGATGTAAAAGTGTATATTGATGTCCGTACATTGTAAGAATTTTCTGTTGCTCTGTATTAATTTTACCGTCATTTTGTACCGACAAACCGAGGGTCCCACTAAAGTCTCTGGCTCTGGGAGCCTCGTCTGTATATCCTAGAATTTGTAACTTGTTTTTGGAAATAATAAAACTTGAAACTTGACATGAAAAAAATAAAACTATCAATATGGATAAGATAGTTGGAATAGTTGAAGAGTTTTACAGAGATCTGTACAGTAGCCGGGACAACCACAACCTTAATACTATAAGAGCTAGCAGTAACCCAAATGACACCCCACCAGTAATGATAGAAGAGGTCAGAAAAGCTTTGGAGAGCATGCAAAGAGGCAAAGTTGCTTGTGAGGATCAGGCAACATCAGATCTGCTGAAAGATGGAGGACAGATTGTGTTAGAAAAACTAGCCACCCTGTTTACGAGGTGTCTCCTGACGGGAAGAGTAGCAGAGTCTTGGAAGAATGCTAACATCATCTCATTACATAAGGAAGGAGATGACAAGGACTTGAAGAATTATAGGCCGATCAGCTTGCTCTCTGCAGCATACAAACTATTTACAAAGATAATTGCTAACAGAGTAAAGAAAGCATTAGAATTCAATCAACCAAAGGAACAAGCAGGATTTTGAACAGGCTACTCAACAATCTACCACATTCATACTATCAATCAGGTAATAGAGAAATGCTCAGAATATGGCCAACCACTATACATGGCCTTCATAGATTACGAGAAGGCATTTGATTCAGTAGAAATATCAGCCGTCATGCAGACACTGCGTAATCAGGGCGTCGATGAAGGATATATAAACATGCTGGAAGAAATCTACAGGGGATCAACTGCTACCATAGCGCTTCATAAAGAAAGCAACAGAATATCAATCAAGAAGGGTGTAAGGCAGGGGGACACAATCTCCCCAATGCTATTTACCGTGTGCTTACAGGAGGTTTTCAGAAGCCTAGAATAGGAACAGTTAGAGATAAGAGTTAATGGAGAGTACCTTAGTAACCTGCGCTTCGCTGATGACATTGCATTACTGAGTAACTCAGGGGATAAATTGCAACTCATGATTACGGAGTTGGACAAGTAGAGCAGAAAGGTGGGTCTTAAAATTAATTTGTAGAAAACAAAAGTAATGTACAACAATTTCGAAAGAGAGCAGCGTTTGAGATAGGTAATAGTGCACTTCAAGTTGTAAAAGACTATGTCTACTTAGGGCAGGTAATAACCGCGGAGCCGAACCACGAGACTGAAGTAACTAGAAGAATAAGAATGGGGTGGAGCACATTTGGCAAGTACTCTCAAATTATGACAGGTAGATTGCCACTGTCCCTCAAGAGGAAGGTATATAACAGCTGTGTCTTGCCGGTACTTAGCTACGGAGCAGAAACCTGGCGAGTTACAAAGAGGGTTCAGCTTAAATTGAGGACGACACAGCGAGCAATAGAAAAAAATGGTATTACACCTGTTCTGTTATTGCTGCATTTTTGTAATATTACTCACCCCCTCTGTAATGCTTTTATGGGCCCTGAGGGTAATGTAAATAAATAAATAATAATAAAGAGACAAGAAGAGAGCAGAGTGGATTGGGGAACAAACGAGGGTTAAGGATATCATAGTTGAAATCAAGAAGAGGAAATGGACATGGGCCGGGCATGTAGCACGTAGACAGGATAACCGCTGGTCATTAAGGGTAACTAACTGGATTCCCAGAGAAGGCAAGCGGGTTAGGCGGAGACAGAAGGTTAGGTGGGCAGATGAGATTAAGAAGTTTGAGGGTATAAATTGGCAGCAGCAAACACAGGACCGGGTTATCTGGCGGAACATGGGAGAGGCCTTTGTCCTGCAGTGGACATAGTCAGGCTGATGATGACGATGATGGCTGGGTTCATAGTTGTTTAGTGTCCAAAAACAACAAACTAACAGCATCACAAGCACTGGCAATGGGAAGCGAAAATGGCACTTGACTTCCCACTGTGATGCAACATAGATTTCTCGCCCCAAGACAAAATTCTACCAATGCTCATGAACAGCACTGTCCTACCTGTGCAAAAACTAAATAAAGGGAGATGTGTATAAACACTGGCCTGAGCTTTTAATGCGAAAAAACGATATTTGCTATAATATCAGTTAGAAATACTATTTTGACAGTGTAAGAAAGCAGCATATTTTTAATGAAGTGCACATTTTGAAATGTCAGTATCCAATCATAATTTTTCCGACCAGCAAGTCCTGCCTCCTTCATAGCTACATAGACACGACCAATATCCGTAAGGTTTCCATGACGCTTACGCCCACCTACTATTCCCTCCACTAAGCTGCTTGTTGTACATCTTGTATTATCATTAGTTGCCAGTAAGTAGGACTAGTTATTTGGTCCAGTTCACCAAAATGAGAATCATGAAACAAACTTACACGTTTTCTGCATTTTTTGAAAAGCACAGAACATTGCAAAATTCACTATACTAGATTGGTTAAAACAAAGAGCAGAGCATAGCATTCGAGGTATTTTTTCATTTGGTACAGGTAGACGACATAAACCTAACAGCCAGCTTGATAGAGTAGAAGTTCGTAAATTTGACCCCCGTCAATTCACAAAATAGGATAATTTGTGGGTGCTCTCTGGTCCCGGCAAGCATGTGCACATTAATTTGGTCATACTTGGCTGCAACCCAGTTAATCTAGACGGCCCTCACAGTATCGAGCATGAAACCTTGCAGTCACCAGCAGAATAAATAGTGACTGAAGTCAAATCTGTGACAAGCAATCATTTTGTTTTCACTGCGTGCCTTCCCTACTGCGAAGTCACCATCCATGACAGCGCATTAGCGAGCCAGGTTTTCTTCAGCAACTGATGCACCGCTCAGCACCTTCATTTTGACTCTAAACTTGTGCCACGCGTGCATGTTCCGAACTGCATTAATGAGAACAAATAGACAATAATGCCAAGGAAAGTACAGGGGATGTTATTAGTACCATATGTAATGTAAATGAGAAGAAAGAAAAGTGGACAAAAAGATTACTTGTCACAGGCAGGGACTGAACCTGCAACCTTCAAATATTGCGTCTGATGATCTGAAAACTGAGCTACCGTGGTGACCGAATCCCCGTTTGCTTTATGGGGTATATATATGTGCATTAAACATGGAAGCGTCAGACAGCACCGCTAGTAGCCAGACGTCATGGCTGCACGAATGCTATGATTGTGTTTTTAGCAATCGGGGTTTTGTCCACAGCAGCTACTGCCCTCAGTGATTTCATTTTGACTTCGGTCAATGAACACACAATGTGATAAAATGGAAACATGGCAGAATCCATTGAAGGTGATGAGATTCAGTCGCAGCCTGCAGGTTGGCATAAAACTCCCTACGTTGTGATGGACAGACATTTAGTAGCCGACTATTTTTCCGGCGAAAAATATCACGTGAGCATGGTGATGTTACACAACAAGGAATGGGTTCAGAATACATTTCAGCCTAAAAGACGGGGGTCTTGAGCTGTGGTCCCACTGGGAACAAAGTTGCGAATGAGGAAAATTGTGGTTTTTACTTTGTTCTTATGCAAACTAAGTGCTGGACTTACGCATTAGTCAAGAAAATGAATATGTATTGACATAATAAAATTTGCTTAATTTCTTTAATACTTTTGATAATTCAGCATTCGGCTACTCAAGACATTTTTTTCTGGTACTTCAAAGTCTGAGTTAACGAGCTTTTACTGTATACCCTTGAGAAATTGACAGCTTTGTACTTCAGTACAGACAGCAAGAAAAAGTTGAACTCGAGAAAAAAAAATGTACAAACATGAAATATATTTATATCGCACACTGCTGCATTACCTTCTTGCTCCTGTAGCAAGGTCCCATACAAGGACAAAACAATTGTCAAGGCCATTGACAACACAGCCACCTTGAGCAGAAATAGCAATGCTGCAACTGTTTCGTTCAGGCTTCCATTTCTTGAATAACGTCCCACTTTGCAGGTCATAGACAATGATGAAATTTGGTGCACTGTCACTCAGCTCCTGCAATGTAAAGTATAAATTAGAAAATTCACATGCACAAGGATGCAAAACTGAACACTAGTTTTGCATTGTGTAAGTCCTCATTGGTAATGCATGCAACATTGTGTTTGTAACAGCGAAGTTGGCAACTAATAAAGTTTCCTGTGATATTGTGGTTGTTAGTCGCATTTATTCATAATATTGCTACAAAGCTAGCGCAGTCGATGATTGATATGTGATGTTTAATGTCCCAAAACCACCATATGATTGTGAAAGACGCCGCAGTGGAGCGCTCCGGAAATTTTGACCACCTGGGGTTATTTAACGTGCACCCAAATCTGAGCACACGGACCTACAGTACTTTCGCCGCCATTAAAAATGCAGCTTCTGCAGCCTGGATTCGATCCCGCAACCTGCTGGTCAGTAGCAGAGTACCTTAGCCACTAGACCACCGCAGCGGGGTCCAAAACAGACATTCTGCCTGCGGAAGACAAGAAAGCGGACTGGCCTATCTGGCGCATGTGCTGTCCCCGATCTTGGTCTATGCTGTGCACTTCAGGATAAATACACTTGTAAATAGTCACGGCTCGGGTCAGTTTGAAAGATGATGGTTCAGTGAATGCGATAGACCTCTCCATAAAATGCAGCACTGCATTAGCCCCTGTTAGGTGCATAAGGAACTGTGGAAAAAAAAGACTGCAGGTGCGTGGGAGAAGAGCAAGCCGCTTCATCCAATATTCTTCCAACTATCTGCTTGCGTAATTTTGTACATGAGCATTCTGAACATCTAATCGAGCCACGTGATCACTCGAGGTTTGTCCTAGCGACATAATTCCATCTCGAAAAGGAGGTAGACTGACGTTCTGTGTTCAAGGTCCACCATAAAGAATGCACATATTTTGCTCATCTATGTCCACGAATTAGAGAAGATGAAGAGAGAGTGGGTATTGTGTATAAACCGGCAAGGACGAAGGGGGTGGTTTGCACTTTGGCAATCCTCTGTATGCAACAGTTTGTACACTTTGAAATTCTGTAGCTGTCTCTTCACTGTTTCATGCAGGCATAATTGGAAACCCTTTGAAACTAAGGAGCCATGGCACTTGCCGAGATATCACGGCAGCTGAAAAATAGTGACAAAATGTACGATATAACAAATCAAAAGCTTCACTGAGGCATATTTTGATCTCCATGTGACATTTATTAAATATAGCTATATATGATGGTGAAAATTCAAGGACGGAGATCTCATGCAAGCTGCACCCTTGCAATTTTTAAATATTACCTTACGAATATTGTACGCAGGATGTGACAGCCCCTTTAATGACAAGGAGTAATGAATTCTTGCTTGGAAGGAGTTGCACTGAATCGTAGTCCAAACTAGAATGCAGACGACCGGCACTTCACTTTCGGTGACCATGTATTAGAGACAAGGACCATTAAGTAGGTGCCATATTTAGTGCAGAAAGGCATGACATAAGACGTTACTTATGTTAATGAATTGAATCATAACTGAATATGTGGCAATGCATTGCAACACATCTTGCAGAGACATATACACATAGCCTAGAAATGTTGAGTGAACATATAACCACGATTAGTAGATTCAGTGAAGAGCATTTCGATTAGGAAGCTGTGATACAATCTATCAAAAACCATTGCCTCATTCTTTTTTTAAAATTGTTACAATGCAAAAAAAAACATAGTAAAAGTCCAACAATAAAAGTTTAGAGAAGATGTGGTCTATCAGACAAGCGCATTGCAGAGCTCTGTACGGTTGAGAGGATCGTCTATCAGGGAATTTTTGCCCATATTATCAGTGATTTGTATGGATGAGCCCGCTCTTTGTGAATGTGGTACGAGCAAGCAGTTTTCTGCAGCTGTGGACTGGCACCACAGACTAAAAAGCACGTGAGCTGTTGTCAAAGAGATTATTTACATTATTGCTGCTAACTTCAGCTGCGGCGCATGACATGTTTTGCCAGGTACAGTGTGCCTGGTCCAGAAATGGAAACCGAAATGCAGAAGAGTACTGCTATATCCTTCCAAAATGTCCACAATACGTGGGTGTTGTTACGTCAACTATTAACTGTGCCGCTGTGTGGGTATGTGGGCTTTGTTTGCTATTATAGCAAGCATGACACATACACGTCAATGAACGAAGAACTACACCTCAGTATTCATTATATTGAACAGTGAATTTACTTGCTCTGACATCTACTTGTACTGGTTATCTACTAGTTGCACTTTTCAATGCTTCGGTTTTGCTTTCACTGTTGAATTTTGGTGAATTTAATTGCATCACGATAATTACTAGAAGCTGCTTTTTCTAGACCCCTAAGCTGCGATGGGTTTTTCTCATGAACTTTGATTTTCCCGTTTGATATAACCACCAGACTCTCCTTAATAAAATGACTAATATTTTTAATTACTGACCCTAATGATGTCTATAGCCATCTTAGGATGACTGCAGCTAAAGAAGTAATTATGAAGGAATCTAACAAATATTATGTTTTCCTGATTTTTGAGAATTTCTGAGAAATTTCCTGAAACACCTGGTATAACATTGAGCAGGCTAACTGATCATAGCTCTGAATGGTAAAATATTTTACATGACCACAGACTTATCCAAGATAGTCTTAAACTCATGTTTAAAAAATCTTTCATTTATGCGTTTATATGACTGCAATTTTAGGAGTATGCATTATGATTTAATGATAATTTCGCTTCTAAACCCAACTGTAACATGCACATAAATTTGAGGACTAGATTTGGTTAAAAAAAAGTTCACATTAGAATTGCAAACATGGTACACATGTCATCTGCAGCTGGTCTGCCTTATTTAGAGTCCCTGACATTAGGATGTCCTCCTGTGTCCAACTCTGCACTTTTTCTTAACATTAGTAAACTTTATTCTGATTGTTAGTTTTTTTTTTACATTGAGCAGGCAAGCAATGCTCCTTCTTTTAAACCTTTTGAGCTCTGTGATATTCCCCTAATCCTGATGTGGCTTCTTGCTCATCAACTAGTAAATCTGCATGAAAACATAGTAGCAATCAGGAGTCAAGCATTTGAAAATATTTTGTACTAACCCTGCAGACACACACAACGTAGTGTCCATCACCAGATATGGCTGAAAGGCGAGTAATGAATTCATGGTGTGGAATACGAAGGTCATAAAGTAGCTTTCGGTTGGCCAGGTCCCAAACTAGTAATGGGAATGGCTTTTGTGTCTCATCCCCACATACACATATTTTGCCATTGCCACTGACCAGAAGACTGTTGAGAAACCTGTAAATGAAGGAAATTAAAAAAAAAAAAACAGATGACAAAATATCAATAAACTAAAAAAGTACAGAAAGCAAAAGCTTAATTTTATCAAAATAGCAGTATAACAGTAAAACATTGTTGATATTGAAGCAACACAAAAGTGCGAGCTAATTGGCGCTGATTAACTCATTAATTCTCAAACTATAGAAGTGCTACCAAGACAAGGACAAGAAGGGCGGCAACATAAGCACTCACTCACAACTGAGAGCTTCATTACTTCAAAAGAAAAATATAAACTGCGCTGATAGAGATCTTATACAAACACCACGATTGCACCATCTGGGAACTGGCAGAAGCTTATCACATTTAACCTAGGGAGTCCCTATGCATAAGTCATCTATCTTTGACATTTCAGCCAAAGAAGTAAAACTACTTGAGGAGGGGAAGTAGCTGACGGGGGAAGGGGGTGTGTGCGTGTTCAGTTTCTGGTTTCGGTCGTTTTTCCTTTGTCCAGTGCACATGTGCAGGTGTTGAGTCGTATGTAAATATATCTTGTTCTTTTCAAGCAATAAAGCTTTTAGTTGTGAGTAAGCACCCGTGTTGTCGCCTTTCTTGTCCTTTCGTGTTGTCGACTTTCTTGTCCTTGTCATCGTAGTGCTTCTATTATTTAAGCATGAATAGTTGATATGTTACTGAAGTAATACTGAAGTACGTTAGAAAACAGTTTCTAAAAATGAAAAAAGAAAGAAAAGAAAGTAAGATGCTAGAAAGATGCTAGAAAGGCACTAGAAAAAATTTATCACTATGGCACGTTGTTTTGTTTTCCCTGATCTTACAGTCTGCAATGCCAGTCTTATAGAAGTCCTGCTTTCCTTTCTGGCTGTTATTAGACACATGATTTGCAAAACATATACACATCACAATTTATATGCTATTTGCAGTCTTCCAAATGCCAGTGCCAGTACATGAGTGTGCTAAAAAAACCCCTGTCCACTGTCATGCTTCCGAAAACATTGCTATTAGACAACACCACAGTAAGCTACACCCTTGTCTGAATTAATTATTTACACCCAGCCAATTTGCTTAAGCACAACAATTTCTGAAATATTCTAGCTCATTTCTGTAGCAAAGTCTGTGGGCAGGCTTCACTTAATCTTTCAATATATGAACTATCTGGGGTCATTAGAGAGAACAGGGAAGAAAGTGATAGCCGATGGCTCTAACACATTAACCATTGCAGGAAATCAGGCAAAAAGGGTTTAACCAAATGATAGCCTTTAACCGATTTGTGGCCTCTTGACACACCGAAGTTAGCAATGCTAAGGAATTACGTCAATGGCAATTACAACACTAATAAAGCATCATTGCAGGGCCCTACATTGGCAAACTAGGGGCTCTGTATACTGCCACGCACCTTTATTTGTTTACTTTGATGTGATTGAGCTTCCCCTAGAAAAACTGTTTGCTCTGCTTGGCACAGGTCTTGCCACAATGTTTGGGAAGCTTTGAGGTTGTTTCAAATTGTTCTGTTAAAATTGCACACAGGACAAGAGTAGCCTAGTTTATTCTAGAGATAGCGCATGGACTAGCAATGATGCTGGAAGGTTCGATAAGGCATGTATAGCAGCAAACGCATTTTACAGGTGAGTAGAATAATCGACGCTCGACATTTATGCTCACCGCTATCACTGCACTGCGTGTACTTTCGGATTACCTTTTAGTGGGCACAAGTTCACCCAATTAAAATTTTTTTTATTTACACCAGCTTGTGCTCTGCGTGCTTCACTGTCAATACCATTTGACATCTGGTGGAGGTGCTGGGTAACGATCCCAGTACCTCTCACCAGTGAAGCAATGTATATTTAATTTACTATTAGGTTTACTACATCTGCATTGCTATATCATGGTGGTACTTCTCCGCATGTTCTCTGCTGCTTCAGCCCATTTACCAAAAAATGCATAGTGGTGTTGTGGAAGAGCAATCTGTTTGGGTTCCCGCATTATATATCATTTGATATACTTCATACATGATATTCAACTGAGTTTTTAAAGCACATGTATGCATAACAAACTGCAATTGCATAGCTGTATAAATAAGAGCACACATGCAATAAATGTGGGATTTGCTAGGCCCACCCTTTCTTGCCCAACAGCCAGCACTGTCCGGTGGCAGAGCAAATCCCACCTAAAACAGAACTTTTATGCCAGCCACACTGCTCCCAAGAGTAATATCAGAAGTTCCTTTGCACAATAAATCAAACTAATATGCTCAAGTTCTCTTTTATTCTTTCTTGTAAAGCACTGCAATGTTCTTTTTTTTTATCATGGATAGTTAAAGTAATTGTAGCAATTGTACTGAGTCTCTTTTACATCCTCCGACTAAAGTACCAAAATGTCCCAGTGATGGCACAAATCGTAACTTACATTTATATTAATTTCTCTATTACTGCTGTTGAACATATTTTTAATGTTATAGATGTTCTCAAGCAATGACCTGACATAAAATGTAATTTATCTGTGCTGTCCCTTTAAAATTACTGTCTGTACATAGAAGTTCAGGTTACACATAACACTGAATATATTTTATGAAAATTGACAAGCGGAGTTGCCCATCATTTAATGGAAACTGGAAAATTTCCAGGAGCTCACCTGTCCTCTCCCACTTTAAAGGTAGTCTCCAAGTCTCCACTGCTGAGGTTGAGCATATTTACGTACATACGATTCCTGGAAAGTGCCACTACGTAGTCCTGGCTGTGCAAACCAAAGTATGCCATCTTCTGGTTCATAACCCCTTTCAATTTCACCAGGAGGCGTCCCTCATCTAGCGAATATACCTGTGAAAAAAGGCATTTCAGAGACCAATGCATCCCCTCCTACAAGTAAACATGCATCTTCAAAAAAACATAAAAGATTTCAATATTCTTTGGAGCAGAGCAAAATTCAGAATTAATGGGTTAACCCTTTAAATAGGACATTGTTTCTTCACAAAAAAAACCATGCCTTGGGAAGCTTTTCTTATCCTAAATGTTTTAGTTAAGAAATCAGAGAATTGTTTTTTAACACTGACATATAAGAGTAATTGATTATTTAACACCATGCCATACTTCTTCACGATTTCTAAGCTTATTATGTTTGGCTTTATGAAGTCATTCTTATTTTCCTTGGTGCTACTTTTGGTGTCATCAGTCATTGTAGACCTACAAGATATACATTAATTATCGAAGTCATCACCTCAAGCAATGCCAAAATTTCACCCCGGGAGAGTATACTCTGCGTCTTCACAAAATCTGTTTTAACGTCTGGCACAATTCATATCAAATTTATGAAATCCTGCACCCAGAGATATAGCCCTGCACTCTTTACCACATGTGCCCTACTTTACTTTCTTCAAAAGCAAAGAGGCACAATCTAGGAAACAAGCATCTCACTCTTCTTTCTTATTTGGAGACATTTCCTGGCACAGATTTCATTGTATATATGACCCTTGCACTTAACAGCACTCACAATTCACAGTTATGCATCCTCCAAGGGCAGTTGTCATTATCACGCGGAGCTTGTCCGCGACCAAAGCAGCGCTTATGTAATGTAAATGCCTACAGCATCGAGCAGCTGATCCCAAGACCAAGCTTGCTATACCATGCAAACTGGATATGCATTTGCTGTCGTGGAGTTGCTTTTTTATGATTAAATTGCGCACAATTTCTACGAACAACTTATACCCAAATTTTAGACCCAAACAAACGGTGCAGCTGCAAGACTGACATGTGATGCGTTAAAACTTGTTAACAACCAAAATAATAATTTTTTTTTACGCAGAGTGGTAGATGAGGTCCTTGACTTGAGTTAGAGGGATATATAAAAAAAAAAACAAAATTTAAAATGGTCTTTTGAGAAAAATATTTTTAAACTTCGGTGTTTTTCGTAAACCAAAGAAGGAACAGATAGTCAGACAACTAAAATACCAGAAGAAAGAGACGCCTTCTACTGGCCCGGTGAAATCATCTACAGCCGATTCCTACGCTGAAGGTGAATTCTTTTAAAAAATTTACAAGCTAAAAAAATAAGTGCACATCACATTTTTCTTTCTTTTTTTTTTTCTTTTACTCTCCCCTATGTCAGTGTGATCATGTTTGTGCACTGGTATGTCCCATTTCACTGCTGCTAGCAGTTGTTTTCGGGAGATAGTTGAACTAGAGGCCTAAGTTGAACCCCTTGGAGTTCTGAACAGTCAATGTTGCATCGTTACATGAATAACGGGAACAAACTGCACCTGGAGGCAAAACTTGAAACTAAATAAAGCTCTTACAGGTCTCGATTTTGAAAATAGGCATTTATAAGCACTTGTAGGCACCATAAAAGCATTATAAAAACCCTTCTTAGACTCTAATTCATGCTCATATTTAAAAGTGACACAACAGAAGCACAAGCAACAAAACAGGCATTTGCCTAAAATCCGGTCTCTAATGATACATACTTAAATTCATGCTCATATTTAAAAGTGACAAAACAGAATCACAAGAAACAAGATAGGCATTTGCCTAAAATCCGGCCTGTAGTGATATTTGGATCAATATTCGAAGGCAGTTCTTGCCATTCATATTTGCCGATTTCCATATTTACACACCCCTAATGATTATTGTATACTTAGAAATTTTTTTCTGAACCTGCCAGTGTTATGAAATGGCCTTTAGAAATGCCATTCCAGATAACTAATGCCCATTCAGATTAGGGGAGACGACGGCAAATTGTTGTGTAGTGCCGGCAGAACTGAACGCTCTCGACAGAGTGCAAATGGAGGCGAGAGAGCGAGGACTTTGCATAATAGTGCACTTAGAGTAAGTAGAAAAGTGTATGGCTGTATCAAAGAGAACATCATGGTCATTGATCTCACAAACCTTACATAAAAATGCAGAATTTAAGGAGTACAAAAACAATACCCATGCTGCTTTGTGAGCACCATGTATAGATACTACCATTTTTAGAGCCTGCATGAAACACAAAATTTCGAACAAATTATTAAGAGTGGCAGTGTAGTGGTTAGAGCATGTAGCTTACACATTATCATAGGAGACCAAATTCAATCTCCTGTGTATTTGATTCCCCTTTTGCGATAGGGTGAAGGTAAAAATCTGAGGATGACTGAAAAGGAAAGGTCCATATTCTTGCACCATTAAAAAAATCTAATTGTGACTGTAGAATGTGGCAGTCAGCAACTGCATGAAAACTTTCTTTAAATATCTTTACATTATTAGCACATAGAAGGAAAGAATTACACAAAGTGAAAGAAACATAATTTATAAAAATTAATAAGAGGAACAGGCCTAATAGTGACCCTTGAGAGATCTAGATCTACTAGTTGCTTTGTATGAAGAAGACATTTGACAAAGATTGGAATGGGGAGGATTGACAATTGAAGAGTCATTTGTGAAAGAGCATAAGTTCAACCCTAAGCATTGAGCGGCTGACTACGTGGAAAGCCTTGCTAAGGTTGAGGCAGATGATGTCTACACAACTTCTTTGTGTACAAGTAAGAAGATCTTAGTTGTGAAAATAGCAAGACTTTTGGTAGTTGAGTGACCAAAGAGAAATTCATGTTGATCCTGAATCAAGAAGCTCATCACGTTAAAAGACACTATGTTGTGAAGAGAATGATTGAGAACCTTGAATGTGACATAGAGAAGAGAAACTCTTCAGAATTGAATCAGGATTGCTGATGCAGCCCTAACACAGTCCTGATGTGACCTCGGTAGACTTTACTTTTTCCCAAATATCAAGAGAAGACATGTCACTGTTTCGACAGTGTTCTTGCCATCCAATAGGCTGCCGCAGAGGGTCTGAGAGTGGCCACAGCAACCGACTTTTAGGAAGCTTTTTTATAACGTAGGAATTGCATTGCACTCAGTGTATTGGTGCACAAGAAAACTATCTTGAAGAATTTAAATGATTGATTGACTGATATGTGGGATTTAACGTCCCAAAACCACCATATGATCATGACCGACATCATAGTGACGGGTTCCGGAAATTTCGAACATCTGAGGTTTTTAATGTGCACCCAAATCTGAGCACACGAGCCTACAGCATTTTCGCCTCCTTGAAAATGCAGCTACCGCAGCAGAGATACAATGCCGTTACCTGCGGGTGAGCAGCAGAGTACCTTAGCTACTAGACCACTGCTACGGGGCAAGAATTTAAATAATGTGTACCAGTCAGGTCAATAACTTTTTTTCTACCAGACCCAGCCTCATTACTTTAGACAATTTACAAAAGGCATACCGTCAGTTTATTTTATGTATATATAAATTTGAATTTATATAGTTAACTTCTGTTGACATGAATGTCTCATGAAACAGGATTTGCAATGTCTCCTTATGGTTGTTTTAAAGGCAGTTCTGTAATGCTCTAACCTTAATCAAGCAAGCATGAATAACTTGTATATATCTGGTATACATATAGACTTCAAACTTTTCAGCAGAGAAATGCAGTCAGGGCATGGTATAGAAAATCAGGTGGCTAAACTACTTATTCTAAGGTACATACCTTAAGTTCCCGGTTGCAGAGCACTAAGGCACGGAAGCGGTCCACCATTTTGAGGTCCCGGGGCTCCGACAAGCCGGTAAGGCGCCGCACAATGCTCTCACCAAACACATCCCACACTAACAGGTCACTGCAGTTCAGTGACACCATGTGACTTGCATCACCTTTGATGGTGTACAGCTGCCCCAATGTTCGGCCCTTTTCCTCTTCATGTATAGCTATTGATGCTGGCTCTTTGGATGGTTCACGCAGATAGTCACTGACTGGCACCAAAGAGGGAAACCGACGCGCCATTTCATAGAGGTTCTTTAGATGGGGAAATTTTAGATCAGACGCTTCAGTAGCAATTATCTTTCGTAATCGTGCTGTTACATGCGCTGCGAATTGTCTTCCGTCATAACGCAATGCATAGCTAGACAACTGAACCAGTTCTCGAAGCAGAGCACATTCTGTGTCAGCAGGATTCAAATTCAGGAACATGTCAAGCTCTTCAAGCAAAAAGTACGGGTCACAGCAGCAGACCTTTATCTGCAGCCACTCAGGATTCAGCAAGAATTGGCTCCTAACAACCTGTCCAAGAGCTTCAATGCTGTCACCACTGTCAGTGCATTTTACAGGGCCACTGTCGCCAGCTGGCCCATTAACTACCTGAAGTCTTGACAGAAGTGTGTCGACACTTGCCAGTTTTTTGCGTGCCAGACTGATGAGGTGCAGGATATAGAATGGCAGTTCATTATGTTTTCGCCTATTTGAAAAAACTGCATTTTTGGGAATATGAGGGAGATCGTGCTGGGTCCCTTTATCTGCTTCAGCTGCACTTGTACGAGATGAGAAATTCATGTTTGAGACAGACTGAAAATAGTCGAAGAGTGCCATTGTGCACACTTGAGCAACCTCCAAACTTGGACTATGCTCTGTGCACAGCGTCCGAAAGAAATCACCACACCATGTGTTGAGCACATAACCTTCCACAACCCTGACCCTCAAAAAATTATCCAGGCCTGCTCGTATCAAGCCCCACGCAGCAAATGGGCATTGTGTCAGTGGCCTCTTCTGATGTACTAGAGGCATTTCAGCAAGTAGCGATTCATTCGATGAGACCACATCAATAATTTCTTTGTCAGAAAGTCCGTGGCGTGAGGCACTCAAGAGTCCCAACACTAAGGATATGACCTTGGGATGCACCTCCTTCTTAAGTTGATCATGAAGAAATGACACCACTTCAGCTTCAGAGTGAAACATGGAAGGTTCTTCAGCTCCATGCCAGTGTGATGCAGCACTTGCTAGAAGTGTAGCAAACAGAGGGCTTGGTGACTGCTGCAATGATGCACAAACACTTTCAAATTGCTTGGCGCTGACTGTTCTGCAACATCTTTCCAAAGATTTGTGGAAAATGTCCTTGCATTGCTCTACACCACAGGGTCCCAAATCTATGAAGCATTGCTCCTGATTCTTGAGTTTAGCCTAGAATAAGAAGAAAACAGCCACACATAAGTACGCTATGAATAAAAATCTCACACTTACACACTCAATATTAACATCTTTTATTGCGATAGCAATTATATGGACACCCTTGACTGGATTTTGCCGCGGGCGTCGACGTCGATGACCGCCGTCATTCACCGTATATGTATACATATCGATATATATGAAAAGGTAAAAAAGAAAAACAACCCAGAAAAAGACTTTGGCGTGCAAAATCGAACATTAGACCTCTTGGTTGTGGGTGTGTGGCGTTAGCCACTGAGCCATGAAGGAGCACCTCCTTCAACATTGAAACGGCAAGCTATTTATATCTACCACTTACCGCTGACGATGCCGATCTCGGGGGAGCTATCGTGTTTTCAGCATTACCAGCGAGATGGCGCAATGAGCGTGCATCGCCAGATCATCACGACGTGGCGACGCGCGCTGATGCATTCATCTTCGACGCATACTTTGCCTCGCGGAAGGGGGGGTAGACGCATAGGTGTGCGTGCGCTTATCTTGCCTCCGTTTGCGAAAATGGCACACTTTTCAGACGCAATGAAGTAACAACCGAGACACTTATTCGCATTCATGTGTACCTGTGAGTATGTTTCATGCATTGTATTGTGTGTGAGCAACGCGGAGCACGTTTCGATCTGCTTGCCATTCTTCGCGTGAAACTCCAATTTGTTACTATCGCATTCATTGCTTTGCCTTTGCGGCAAAGCTGTGATTTTTTTTTTAATATAACGAAAGTATATAAAACCACTGCCAGAAGTCTACTGTTTTTATTGCAAAAATATTTAACTACTACTATGCTATAAATGTTGAAATACTGAATATTTCAAAATAACAAGCCAAATTTTGTTCTTACCTATGCTCGCAGGGCTAAATATAACACATTTGTTACTAAAAACCTTGAGCATATTGCCACATAGTTTGCTTGGGTGAGATCGAAGAGTGAAAGAGGACAAAGACGATCTTTCTGAGCTGCTGCTTGGCTAGTCGACTCAACGAGCCCATTATATCAAGTTTGTCATGAGTAACGTGATAAGACTGGTGGAGTTGCTGGGTACAACGTCTCACGATCCACCCGATGCCCAAGACCCCGTCCAGCAGCCGGAACACAAGCCCTGCACCCGTGGACACTTCTGTTCATAGAGTAAGCTGCCGCCAACGAGGCCTACCGCCTGAGACACCAACCACTGACGCAGCGACTATGACTTCGACACAAGATACCGTGCAAGCTCCGACACCTTCCACGCCGATCTACTGCACCGTCCAGAACCCGCTCATGCCTAGCCCCTTTCACGGAGAGCAGCATGAAGATGTTGACGACTGGCTGAGTGAGTTCGAACGTGTCGCAGCAATCAATTACTGGGATGATGCCGCGAAGCTCCAGAGCGTGTACACTTGCCTAAAAGACGGTGCCAAGACGTGGTTTTTGAACAGGGATGATGTTCTGACATCTTGGCGCGAGTTCCAGCGTCGCCTCCTGGAGACCTACAGGAGTCCCGACCGCGGCAAACGGGCGGAGCGTGCACTACAATCACGCATCCAGATGCCCAATGAGACCGTCTCGATGTACGTCGAGGACATGACACGGCTTTTCAAGCGGGCAGATCCTGCTATGGCAGAAGAAAAAAAGTTGCGCCACTTCATGCGTGGTGTGAAGGAACAACTTTTTGCTGGTTTGGTGCGTAGTCCCCCCAAAAGTGTTGCTGAGTTCCTTACTGAAGCGGCAACAATGGAGCGAGTACTGCACCAACGGTCTGCCCTGTTTGACCGTCAAGTGAATGCTGCCTCAACTCCCGAAATTTTCACCACCCCTGGGAGCAAGAGCCCCGAATGGATCCGCGAGATCGTCCGATCTGTCGTCCGGGAAGAAATGGAAAAGATGTACGGGACAAGGCAAATCGATGTTGGTTCTATCACCAGTGTCATCCGTGACGAGGTCCAGCAGGTGCTGCACGCCCATCATTTTCCGCCCACGTCGGTTGATCCGGAAACGGCTCCTGTGTCTACTGACAGTCGCCGTCGTACGTACGCAGAAGCCTTGCGATCTGCCACTCCTCTTTCTGGTCAAGGAGTCCCGACCCAGCCAGTGCCGCACGTCCCGCTCCAGACAGTGCCCCACGTCCAATTCCAGACAATGCCATACGTCCCAATCCAGACAATGATGCCGTCACTCCCGATTCAGTCAGCGCACGCTGATTTGGACATCGATAGTCACCATGCACCGACGTGCAAGTCTGATCTCTGGCGGACGCCAGACAGACGACCCCTCTGCTATCATTGCGGTGAGGCTGGTCACATTTACCGCGAATGCCCATACCGGCAACTTGGACTGCACAGATTTTCCGTCAATTCCCCTCGTCCCCGAATTGGTCAAAGTCCAAGGGATATCGAAGAGTATCTCGCGCAACAGCGTGCACCCTTTAAACGACGGCAATCGCGGTCACCATCTCCGAGGAGACTCGCAGCCACTGGGCCACGTTTCGGGGTGACGGCACGGGAACGCTCTCCGAGCCCTCGTCAGGAAAACTGAAGGCAGCGACCTTCGGGGGCAAGGTCGCTGGGCCTCAAAGTGCGGAAGACCTCCCATCGACGCTTGCACACAACGCCGAAGGAATTTTGTCAGAGAATAATCGCAGTACCGAAGAAACGCCGACATCCACATCTGAACCTAGTGACCGCTTGTCACTCGACATACCTGTGCTGATTGATGGTCTTCAGGTCAGTGCATTGGTAGACACTGGTGCAGACTGTTCCATCATCAGCGGGAGGCTAGCGAAAGATCTCAGGAAAGTGATCACGCCGTGGAATGGAACGCGAATTCGAACAGCTGGAGGACACGTTGTAACACCACTGGGTCGCTGTACCGTAAGAGTGAAAATTCGTGCGTCAACGTTTGTGCTCAGCTGCCTCACTCGTGACTGTTCGCGTCAGCTGATTATCGGCATGGACTTCCTTCGGGAATACGGTGCCATTATAAATCTCCGTGAGCGCATCGTGACCTTCTCGACTCAAGGCGCAACAGATCGAGACGCTGATAACTGCCGTAGACCTGCGCTGCGTGTTGCTGATGACAGTGTGACGCTGCCACCTCGAGCAACTGTTCCCATCGAAGTCACTTGTGAAGACTTGCAAGACGGCGACGTGGTGGCTGAAAGCAACCTATCACTTCTGCTGCTCCAAGGTGTATGCGCCGCTCAAAGTGTTGTGCGCGTCCGTGACGGACAGTCAACGATACTAGTTAAGAACTTCAATTACGAGCGCCGGCATCTTTTCCGCGGAACCACCCTAGCTTATGAAGACCCTGTTGCCGACGTCACGGAGTGCTTCGCGTCCGAGGAAATGCATGAGGATGAAGAATTTCTAGACCGCATCGACATTAATTCGACGCTGTCAGACGAGAGAAAGGCTGCACTTCATGACCTTTTAAGGGAGTTTCGATCTTGCTTCGCCTCTTCTTCTAAAGTCCGTCAAACACAACTCACGAAGCATCGAATTATTACCGACGATGTCTGCCCCATCCGGCAGCAGCCTTATCGCGTTTCTGCCAAAGAACGCGAGGCTATTCAGACACAAGTAAAAGAGATGCTCGATGTCGGGATTATTCAACCATCCAGCAGCGCTTGGTCCTCGCCAGTCGTTCTAGTAAAGAAAAAAGACGGAACGCTGCGATTCTGTATTGACTACAGGAAGCTTAATAGCGTCACAAAAAAGGACGTCTACCCGCTTCCACAGGTCGACGACTCCCTCGACAGGTTACGACGCGCGAAGTATTTTTCGTCCATCGATCTAAAGAGTGACTATTGGCAAATTGAAGTGGATGAACGAAACAGAGAAAAAACCGCGTTTGTGACTCCAGACAGACTTTATGAATTCCGAGTTCTTCCCTTCGGCCTCTGTTCTGCACCAGCCACTTTTCAGAGGATGATGGACACAGTTCTCGCTGGCTTGAAGTGGCAAAGCTGCCTTGTCTACCTCGATGATGTGGTCATCTTTTCCGAGAGCTTCGAAGAACATCTGAAGCGTCTCAGAAAGGTTCTGGAAGCCATTCGCACAGCTGAACTCACGCTGAAACCTCAAAAATGCCATTTCGGCTATGAAGAGCTGAAATTTCTGGGACATGTCATTAGTGCAGATGGAGTGCGACCTGATCCAGACACAACTGCTGCTATCGCCGCCTTCCCTGTTCCATCAGATAAAAGAACAGTACGCCGTTTCCTCGGCTAGTGCGCGTATTATCGGCGATTTATCGCCAACTTCTCGAAGATAGCTGAACCTCTTACGCGACTCACCCGAGATGACGTGCCCTTTACTTGGGGCGCAGAACAAGATACAGCGTTCGCAAAGTTACGACAGAGAATGCAAACAGCCCCTGTTCTTGCCCATTTTGATGAGGACGCTGCTACAGAAATTCATACAGATGCCAGCAATGTCGGACTTGGCGCTGTCCTTGTACGACGACACGGCGGCGTTGAGCATGTGATGGCTTACGCCAGTCGTACTCTTTCTCGAGCCGAGGCCAACTATTCTACGTTAGAAAAAGAATGCCTCGCAGTCGTGTGGGCGATGACGAAATTTCGGCCTTACCTTTACGGTCGTCCCTTCAAAGTGGTGACTGACCACCACTCGCTCTGCTGGCTGGCAAATCTCAGAGATCCATCCGGCCGTCTCGCACGGTGGAGTTTGCGTTTGCAGGAGTTCGATATTACGATTGTGTACAGGTCAGGGCGCAAACACAAAGACGCCGACGCGCTTTCTCGAGCACCTGTGGGGAAAGCTGTCAGGGGCTCCGAAGATGAAGATGCCTCTCTCGGAGCCGTTAGCGACTCCGAATTTATGTCAAAGCAGCGGGCAGACGACGAATTACGCCCAGTCATTGATTCCCTGGAAGGCCGCAACTCTCAGGTCCCTCAACACATTGCTCGCAAACTGTCCTCTTTTTGTCTAAGAAGAGGCATCCTTTACAAAAAAAACGAATTTTATACCACGGTGCGAGCCTTCTTTTACCCTCCTGCCAAAGGTTAACTGTCGAAAATATGCTCATATGCGTGTTATGCGCACTCAAAATTTGTAAACGTCTGCTTTTGCTGCGCTAGCGTGGGTACCGCCATTTTTGTTTACTTAAATCGGCGCTGGGGTCTGTGTCCGGCAACATGTATGGCCACACTGCAGCAGGCGATGCCAAATGATCATGTTGTAGTGCAGATGGCGCCGTTAGACGAGCTCAACAGGCCGAAGCAACACCGACAGTTGGAATTAATCAAAACGACGAAGAGAAGACTGGAACTGGTGGCGAAATCGGGATGAAGTTACAAAGGCCCCTGAGAAAAGCTTGACGCCGGAAGCGGATTCTCCGTTGATCGGAGAAGTGCAGTGCCTCTATCCCTCACCAACGCCAGGGGAGAACTTCGAGCCATCGACATCGACATCCCAGATGAACTCACCGTTGATGCATTCATTTGCGCCGATGATGACGTAGTTGTGTACGAGGAAGTGACTGACAAGGCAATTATCGAAAGCGTGCGCGAAGCTGACGACACCGAGGACCGAGAAGAGACGCACGCGGAGAAACCCGGCCCGCGGGTTGTTTTGGATGCGCGGACACCCTTCACTCCTTCTTCGGCACACATGATGACGACGTAGCAATGGACCACTTTTTCCACTGCGAAGGGAGAGCTTTGAAGTTGTTGCATGGCAAGAGTCGACAGAGTAAGTTGACCGACTTCTGGCAATAAATTTTCGTTCTGCTGGCTGTATCACTGTTTTCATGTCTCATACTAGCGGCAACGAAATTCTCGCAAAAACAAAATTTTTCGGTTTCCCTGGCGATTTCGTTACTGCGGGTTTCGACTGTACACCTATTCATCCATGTCGAATACTTCAAAATATTCGATAATTCATATTCGAATCGGACAAAATTCGAATACTCTACTATTCGTTTAAATATTCAAAGCATTCAAATATTTGCACAAACCTAGTTAGGACATAATAATGCTATTTTTGAATGCTTCAATAATTTACCATAAAATAATTGCTATATGGCATCCTATATTGGTCTACATTCATTCTTTATTCAAGAAATCATCATCAATCCGGACGCTAAATGCCTTTGAGGCCTTTGAATGCGTTATTTAAATTTGAATGCATTCAAATCTTATCAGTGACTTTTGGCTAAGCTGCCAACGTGATCTCCAGTCATCGGCCAACAATCATGGATTAATGCGATCATTGTCATCAGTGTGTCGGAAAGGAAAGAAACCGAAAAAATGAAAAATGAAGAAAAAGCAATATTTTTGACTGGATCGAAAACATAACTGAAAAAGTAATCGAAACATTATTTATTATTTGGTTTAGGAGGGAAACCAAAATATTCTTTATCCCCCTTTGGTTCAAAGCGAACTTAGCAACCCGACATAACCAATATCATGCAATGTGAGTGTTGAAGAGACAAGCAACTGCTCGGTAAACAAATTGAGACAACTTTAGAAATAGAAAATTTAGTGGCTAAAGCCAGCTTTGTGTTTTTCATTACATAATTTTTATTTTTATTTCTTGACTAAAATCACGAAAAATGACTTATATGGCATCCCATGAGACAAAAAACTGAATATGCAGAAGAGTCCGATCACGTGACCTTTTACTGGTTTACGCAGTTAATGAACTTTATATACTAGTACTGGAATGCAGTACATTTTTTCATTATTGTACTCTTCTCTAACTTAAAATGTTCAAATAAACCTTGTTTTGTAGTCACCGGCGCACTGGTGCCACCTTCGTTGACAAGTCATTCGATGCTCATGAGTGGCGGCATGAAAGTTGTTAGCTTAGGGACTGGCCGTACTTGCTGATGAGTCAAAGTGCCAGGAGCATGAGCCTGCTTTGTGAGGCAGTGAAGGGACTTTCAACATGATGAGCATTCAGAAAATTTATTCTACCTACTACCTATTCTACTTAATGTACTGATTGAATATTGATGGCTGCAGAGTCAAAAGAGCATAATTCTCCAACAATGTTGCTTTAGATGAGCACAATGAAACCAAACAAGCAAGGAAGTGATCATATGCAGTAAAAATTTACCTTGAGGTCCTCAAGTTCCTTACTTCCATCGCGGACTGTAAGCACTACCTTGACGGAGGGAGGCAACTCAGATGGCAGCCAGTCAAAGGTGCAAGCGCTATGTTTGGTAACCTGGTCCAACCCATCAAGAAGGATGACCAGAGGCCGATGCGATGACACCTTGTCTAAGAGAATGCCTAGTACTTCCCGCTGCTCAGAAATGCTCTAAAAGAGAAAATGATTTAGAGTAAAAAGTAAGGTATTAGTACTTAACTAAGGTATACCACACCAAAAAGATTTCCAACACTACTGTGCAGTGCATGAGTATCTACAAGAACAGGCTGTGCTAATACGTCACTATGCATATACAGTCAAACCCACTTATAAGGATACCTGTTTTAACAATATATTGGTTATATGATGATAAGCTGCTGCACCATCAGCTTTTGTATGTTTTCTATGGTGAAATGACTCGCTTACAGCAATGGCCACATGCTGCATTATCGGTTATAACGATGAATTCTGGCTCTTGGGTGTCGACACTGAGAGGCAATAGAACGCGAAATCCTTGAAGAGAAAGAACAAAAAAAAAAAAAAAAAGAACTTCAAGCTATTGAACCCCCGCCTACAATGCCAACGCCCCCAGAGCACCTTCAAAACAATATGCTTCACCACACTGCATTGAAGCAAAGCTGACTTTCAAGTCGCGCTACAGCGTGGGAGAGGCGGTGGCTTCTGTTAATTCACTTTTGGACATCCAATTTTAGTAAAAAGTTGAGAGTTGGAAGAGTTTCAGCATCCAAAGCTTTAGCGTTGCTCTATAAGGCTTGTGCTGGTCTCGTGATGCGTCCGAATTTGAAGCATGTCCGAGAAAACGGCAGCCTTGCTTTTCTTATCACTGACATCTGTTTGCATATCTCATCTAATATTATAGTTTTTTCACAATAACCTGCCATCCTTCTATTTTGCTTTTATTATTTTTTTCCATGCAACCCGTTTATAGCAATTACTGGTTATAACAATGGAATTTTTATGGCTTTTGAGTATTGCTATAAGCGAGTTGGAATGTAATATAAACATTAGCCTAAGGTCTAAAACTGATGACGAGTTTTTACCAAGTAAAATGATATTCCTCGGTTATAATGTGCTATGATATTGGAGTTACTTTCCAATAAAATTAATTTCTTTAAAGTACACAAGGCGAAGCAAGTTTTGAGAAAAAACTTTTTAACCTCTGTGAACAGTGAGTGCTAATTGGATAGTGTTTTCCTTATCTCCGCTTTGTAAATTCAGCTATTTTGGCCTCATACTGCCATTTGCCAACTTTCTAAGTAATGAGACAGTGGAAGGGCAACACAAAACTGTTGGTTCAAGCTTTTAAACAAAGAGTGTTCTGAACAGAGAGTTTTGTGGTTTACCACTTAACTTTTTTTAAATCACTAAAATCAGCTCGTACAACATCCAGATTTGTCTCCTTCGTAGCTTCAGGCTACCTTCCAATCAATTACAATACAATGTTTTCAATAAGTTTTATTGTAATCACTGCAAGGACTTCCCAATTCCATCAATAATAACCTAACATAATATCAATTATGAACACTTTCTGCATGCCTGTGTAAAACTTGATTATCATGTATATGTGAGTATAAACGTGACAGTCAAATGACAAGGACTACCGCAGGTAAAATAAAGAAAAAAATAACTCTGCACAAGCAGTTATATCAATTTAACAAGCTAAAAATGTTTATTTGTTAACACAAAACAAAAAAATCATAACTGATCACGTAGCGCAAAAAATATTTGACACACGACAAGGGAAGAGATGAAGGGGAGCCTTTCGTCCCTTCCCGAATGTTGTGTCAAATATTTTGTGCTATGTGATCCGTTATGAATTACCAACATGCCCAACTTCATATTCTCGTCAATAAAATTATATCCTGGTTCTTGATGAACACATACTAATTATTATTTAATTGTAGCATAATTTAAAAATAACCTCTGGCAGCTTTCCCAGTTTGGCTTCTTAGTACTATAGATAACTCAAAGGTGCAAAGATACTTGCACAAAAAACCTAATGCATAATCACCTCACAAAATGTTAACAATCAACTTTATGATGAATTATTTTAGTGTATACATTGCAGTTTATCAACTATAGCTGATCACTTCACAAGATATATCTAGCTCTTTCAAAAAAACTCAGTGAGGGACAGAAGTCTTGACATACACGCTCGAAAATTGTACCATAAATTTTTTTACATTAACTGCCAAGGCACTGAAACTAAAGGCAAATGAATACACCTGAACTTGAATCCTAACACTAGTAGCACAATAACAGCCAGAGAATTATAGATATAAAACAAACTGCATTGTAGGGCTAATGGCATACAACGTATAGCAACAAGCATGCAGTGTCTAACATGATAATATAAATTATAGGTAATGAAATAAACCTTTTAAAAACATGAGTAACTTTGACCAAAACAGCAAACAAACTATGTCATACACACAAACACACACACCACACACACACAAAAAAAAACTTACAATAAAGCTACAAACAGCTTATAAAATATCAATTTCGACTGCCTCTTGTATACTGGAAAAGATAAACCTTGTTCAGTGATGTCAAAGAATGACAAACAATTATTTAGTGAATATAAAACGTGCAATTTTTATAACACAGAGTCATATTTTGTTCTTGTTCAATATTAAACAAAAATTCTGTTCTGAAAGAATGTGTAGTTGTATGGATGTGTGCAAACAAAAAAATATAAATAACAATAACTATCAGAACCTGCTAGTATCCTTGAAAAGCCATTTCAGAGAGTCTTTGGTGATAGAGTATTCAAATGAAATATAAACAGTACTGTTTAACATACGAAAAGTGTATGCATACATACTTGCAAATTATGGATGAAACCAATATTATTTTTCTGCACAATATGTAAACTTCCCAAGTTAGTTTAGATGTTATACACCATACAAGCAAACCAATGTGTAGCCTAGAATGAATAACAGAAAAGTATAATTGATGCTTCAGCATCAGAGGTACAAATGTGCAATGCTTTTTATAATAGCAAGTGTCTATGCTATCTTATTTTTCATATAGTTAACATGGAATGTCCAACACAAATTTTTTAGTGAAAACACAAGTCCTACACAAATTTTTTTAGAGAAAACACAAAGACGCATATGCTCTGTAGCCCTTTCTAGTGTATAAGACAAATGTCTTTATGATGTCACATTCAGCTAACTCATTAATTGCAGAAAATATGTTATAAAGTCTGCCTTTCTAATTTTCAGAAGTAAGTAATAGTTGCAAAAGAGTATTTAGCAAAAATTTCATTGCTGAAAGCATAGATGATATCTTAGTAGAGGAAGAAAAAAACAATCGCATCGTCTATGTACGCATGTTAGCTGAGTTAGGAATATTTACAATATCATTTATGTAAAGCAGAAAAAGTGTAGGGCTTTAAGTCAACCCCTGGGGTATTTCACATTCTGTGTGCAATAGGTAATAATTGATGTTGTTGCCATCTATAGATTAAGAGTGATATTTCGAAGGTCACTGTGTTACAAACCAAGTGCACGGCAGCTAATTTCATATCTTGGTAAACTAAAAAAATAGTGTTCTATGTTTAACTAAATTTCGAGTCCTGAAAATGCATTTGCTTTGAAACATAGCTACAACATGGATAGTTAGTTATTTGCCATATATAGCTTATTTAGCTAAGTGCTTTAATCAGCTAAATTGCTACTGTGATAGTTCATACAATTAATATAGTTTTCAATTGGTAATCTACTTCAGGCAGAATTTTGCTATCTTTTACAGGCAAGCAGAAAATTTCTGTTATAGTAACAATAACACTAAAAAATTAAATATTTATTATAGTGCCCATAAACACCTATAAAATTCATGTATGTACTGGTGCACTCAGAAACATATACATAAAACACAATAAAAATACCATTACCCAAAAAAGTAAACAAGACAGACAAAGTAATATGAGTTAGAGCAGCTAATAGAATAAAGTAACTCGTCAGTAAACAAACATTACAGAAAAATGAATAAGGAAGGAAGGCTTGACAGCAAGTAAATCATGCAAAGTGGCTTTTCCCTATGCTTGCATAGAATCACAGGACCATTTCATTATTGATAGAATATGTATTTTATATGCACAAGTATTAGTAATGGCAGTTTCCATAATAATAACAATGCTTGGTATACAGATAACAAAAAGCCTGCTATGAGGATTTACAGTGCCACAGGCCTATGCAGTAGAATTGAGAAATAATTGTAAGTGAACGTTTACGTATAACCATAACCACATCTAAGTGCGCTCTCACCTTTCCCTCTTGGTCATCATTTTCTACTTTGGAGAAATACATAAGCTTAGTAAAGTAAACCCTGCATATGTCGATCCCACATATAATGAATTACTATGTATATAAAACAGTTGTAAAATCCCCCTGAATATATTTTCGATAATAAAATATTTTATTTAACTAATTACCTCAATTAGATAAATAAATCTAATTGCTTTAATTTTTACGTCTAATTACCTCTTCTGTGATCCCCTTCAGATTCAACATATCCACGTTCAGCTGCACACATTCTATATTCAAAGTAAATAACATCTACATTCATAAATTTCGAACATGCATTTAGAGGAATTCACCAAGAGAAAACTAGTTCGCACCTTGGATGCGAGTATTGTGTGCATTCCATAGAGAGCACAGCACTGCTCACAAATGCTTCGCAGTAGCTGTTGCTGGCTGTCCGAATCGGGTGATGTGCCCACGAAACGCACAATGACAGGTGCGTCAGGCACCCAGGTTTCACACAGCTCAGCCACCTTGGCAACCAGAGTGCTCTTTCCACTGCCTTTGACCCCATGTAAAACAAGTGGATGGCGAAGCTTGCTCCGAAGATACTTCTCCAGCTGAGAAAGCGTCTCTGTTTGTCCTATAAAGTTTTCCGAAAGAGACAGGCACATCTGGGCCTGCTGCACTAGCTCCACATAAAGCTGTTGCTCTATGCCTGCACAATACAAAGAAAAGAGATCTGTGATATGCAATGTTACTAGTGCAACGCTAATACTTGAAGTGCTTCGAAGTAAAATTATTGATAAAATGACCTAATGTGCTCAGCGCCATTTGTACATGAAAACAAATGCTGGAAAAGCCAAGGGCTGGAAAGTGCCTACATATGTAAACAATTTATTCTGCTCTACCAGTTGTTGTACAACTGCGACATATACTAAAGGAATACCTGTACTGTAGGAAATTTTGTAGGCATGCATGCAACATGTTTATCAGAAAGAAAAATGAAAACCTTACAAATAGGCTTTTGACTATGAAAGAACATCTTCTCATAATGAATTTACCAATCCTAGTTCCGAAAAACTGTTGGACTTCACATATTTAAGTATTCCAGTATATTCAATACTGTTGGACTTCACATAATTAAGTATTCCAGTATATTCAATACAGCACAGTCAATACACAGCCATTGTGCATTTGACACAAAAAATCAAATGGCTTTTATAAGAAGGCCAGTCTGGAGATATATGAACTTGCAGCAGTTGCACAAAGTAAAGGAGAATCCTAATACAGGTATGCCAATACAGAAACACTGGTTGGCTGCCTAAAAGCGCGTGTGAGCGAATTCCCTTCGTAACAAATGTCACTTGAGAAAACATTTTTAAGTTTTGTTTTTAACATTGAATAAATAAAAGTAAAACTAAAACCACCACATATTTCAGAGAGAGAATCCCCCATAAAACATGAATAGTCTGTCACCATGTAAAATAGTGAAGCTTAGTAGTCCAGACAATTCAATTCATAAGATGGTTGCCGTGCTGTGGTAACAATGGTTGTTAGTGATGTTTGCACATCACAGTTTTCTCATACCCTATCTCATGATGATGACATTCAGCGAAAAAGAGTAAAAAGCACTAGCAGGAGCTAAAAACACAAACATAATGAAAGCTGACAATGCATAAGTAGCCTCAGATAGTAGCTTTTTTAAGGGCTGGACATGAATGTGTACACCTAAACACAAACAAATGGCAAAGGTAGCGATCTTGCAGTTCACGCATTCATGCAGCACCAATTTTTATTATTACTATTATTTTTTCATCAGCTGCTGCATTTTGAAAGAAAAGACAGAGAATATTGCATTTAAAATGAGTATTAATGACTTTCATATGAGCATGCTAAGATATTTTAAGCAGAGCACAATCAGATAGGATAATTCACTACAGCAAAAATAATACACCTGATGCTTTTTAAATCAGATGACTGTTTTGATATTTGTTTCATTCTCATAAAAATAGTATTGTTTTTTATATTGCACCATTCCGCTTAATGAAATGTCGAACAAATGAAACACTTTCTTACGTCCCTTTTGAGTTCTGTTTAGGTGGATTCTACTGTAGTTATCTTTGAAACTACATAGACTATGAGTCACGAAGCGATAACTGAGTACTTACAGAACAATTTCATAACAATAAGACAACTACTTCCAATGCACTACTGTTCAGTTTCACAAAGAATACATAGAAGAACACTAAAATGTGAAATAAGCGCTTATACAACATTGTTTACACAGTATAACTAGTGTTACTTTATCACTTTTCAGCAAAACAACCTACCTTACAACAATTATTATAGGCTCAAGGTACTGTTTGGTACCATCCAATTGAAACTGAGGTGTTAAAATTAAACCAAATTTATCGCAAATCAGCTGCTTTGCAAGCAAAGCAAAATCAGCAGAGTACCACAGAGAGTGTGATCAATAGAACTACGTAGACATAATTCACAGACAACCCAAATCCCTAATCATATGATGACAGTATTAGGTTGGTGGCAAATGACCAATGGTGCCACACAATTGCTAAGTGACAACAGCACCCCGAGATCAATATATGGTGCCTAAAGTGCGTAGTACAAAATCAGGCACTGTGCATTTTAGATATATCTATTTCGTGAAAGGATTGATTTATTGATTGATATGTGGGGCTTAATGTCTCAAAACCCCCATATGATTATGAGAGATGCCGTAGTGGAAGGCTCCGGAAATTTCGACCACCTGGGGTTCTTTAGCGTGCACCTAAATCTTATTTCATGAAAGGAAGGAAGAAACGTGAACCCCTCATTGTTACTGTTTTATGTTTTCAAGTATATGTCAATAATTTTAAAACCATTTAATCATTATTAAGGTTTTCAAAATTAAGCATCTGAATCAGCCACTGAATAAAGTAGAAATATACAGACAAAATCCAATTTTCTTTTTGTCCTGATGATACAGTTGTGGATAACATGAATTTTTTGATAAATTTTATGGCCAAAATACCTTGTGTACAATGTTACTAATCCAATGAAATAGAGGGAAGTGTCAGCTTGCGGTCAGCATTTTCCCATTTTATTTACACACATTTCTTTATTTGAATTTTGGTGAACCCTTCCCATGTAGTGTACGCATTTAGAAGCCTGGCACACATACTGTGATGCAAAAATAGGTTACCAGCAGATTTTGCAACCTGACACTGCACATTTGTTGATGCTTATAGAAATTCTCAGAAACGTACAAGGAGGAACAGCCATGAGTTTCTAAAAAATAACAGCAATACAGCCACAAAATCTACAGGTGTGTTTAACTGATGCTCTTGGCTAATTGACAACACCTGGACTTTAATTAGTGTGGTAAAAGATACAAGCAAAATGGTTTTCTGCAGAATCTGTGCATACCAGTGTCAACAAAGTAGTTTTTTTATACAGGCTTTTTTTTTACTTACGTACTGTAATTTGTTTCTTTTCAAGCTGTAGTGAATGATAAGTGCTTTATTAAAGGGGCCCTTCAACACTATTCAGGCCCTCGATTTTTCCTTTCGGGCTTCATAGATTGAAGGACAGAAAGGCTAATGTAGCTAGTATAGCAGCAATAGAAGCAGGCAGTCTTAAGTGATTCAGCCAAGTAATTTCAACATACAAGAACAAACAATGCCTATCCTTGACAATCAGGCACATGACCACATTTCATTCGCCAATAACGTTGCAAGGCGCTATCGTAGGAATAAACTCAAAGTTCCTTAAAGGTGATGATGATGATGATGATACTGTGACCCTGCCCTTTGAATCAGGCTATCGACAGGCAAAGCCCGCATCAGTTCTATGAAGTACTTTTAAAACAGAAACTAAAGATAAAGTGCAAAAATAAAAAAAAAACAATCTATTTGACCTCTCTTTCAAGGTAGCGGAAGCCGGAAGCTTGCACACCACTGTTGTCTGTTGCATCCAGCAACACTACTGTGGTAACGGCAGCGATCCTACCATTACCATAGTGATTGGCAGTGATTACGCCATTACCCCTGTAACAAACGTGTCGCCACAACCCTTGTACTCCAAGAAAAGGCGCAAGACCGACAACAAAGCAATGAGGTGAAAAGCATTCACTTCTTTTGAATTCCGTAACACACACATACACGAGTGCACAACATGTACAAAATGAGGCTGCTCAGGAGGGTACACAGGCAAGAAGAAAAGCCTCTGTGCAATGACAAACGGTGTGAGTGTATTTTTCTATGCTTGGAGGCCATAGTCTCAAAAGCAGGCTGTGCCCCTACTGTGTTTTGAAGTTGCACAGGCTCTTTTCTTTTAGTTATTTTTCTTTCTTATTTTTCTTGGAATGACATTTATTTAAATGTTCATAGAAAAGCATGCAAAAGAAAACCTGATAATATTTTTTTTATTGATTGGCTCAATTGCTGCTAACATTAGATTTATCCAGTGCTGAGCACCACTATGCGTTGATGTGGTTGGAAGCAATGTATAGATTTCATTGCATGATTAGATATCCAATTTATTGATGTTCTCATTTACTCTAAAATTATCTCCAGCCATTAGAATAAGAAAACTGCAGATAAAAAAAAGGTACTTCCAAAACGTTGGAGGGCCCCTTTCAGTGAATATGCACAGTGTAGAAAACAAAAGCACTTGCATACTTTTTATTATTACACTACAGTGGACTCTCAGTAAACGAAAACCGGTTAAATGGTACTGCTACTTAAATGGAACAACTGCATGCAATATGACTGGTTTGCAATATGCAATATGATGACCACTGTTCATTTTTCAGTAAACAGAGTTCCTGTTAAATGGAACATATTTTCCCGGCCCTTAAGATTCCATTTAAAGGGACACTAAAGGAAACTATTAAGTCGACGTTGATTGTTAAAATTGCGGTCCAGAAACCTTGTAGCGTTACTTTTGTGCCAAGGAAGCACTTATTTTGAAATAAAATCATATTTTCATGGTTCCCATCGCGTTAGCGCACTTCAAATTAACTGCCTGAAGCGGAATGTGTCGGATCACTATTGCTGTGCACAACGTTGTCCAGCTTTACTGCACGGCCGCCGGCACTAGTAGCAGCAGAACGAAAGTAGCGGGAGCTATAGTGCAACAACACAATTTCTTGCCATAGCCTGTGAGATGGCAGACGTAACTGGTTGAACAGGGCCCCACTAGATGGCACGACCAGTAGGTTTAACTAGGCGAAAATTGAACTTTTGAACCACTTGCGCCATTCCCCACAGTAACATCTGGTGGTTCTTTTTCCCATAAATCAAACAGACATGAACAAGCAGCATTTTATTACGTCGCTTGATCCAAGGAAGGTTCTTTATTTAGTGCCGATAGTTTGATAACTAGTAATTAATTGTAGACAGTACCTCTGACATAATCAGGATCATTTGCGAATGTCCTATCATAGCGCACGTGTTCTCCTGCTCTTCCTTTAATTTCTCGGTAAGTAGGCAACTGCTGCTGATAATATTGCTGTTTTAGAAGTCATACATTGAGCTTTCACTATGACATAAATTGTTATTTGACTTTAGTGTCCCTTTAATAAGAGTCCACTGTGCCTCACTCCTCAATGATGAATTTAGTAATTACAATAATTACAGCAACAAACATCATTACATGGTATCCTCGCACACTAGGGCAACACGGTATGGCTCTGGCTATTGTCTTAGGTGGATACACAAATGAGTATGAATGTCTTCACCGAGCAGTAACAACACATATAGCAGCAAAAACTTAATTTCTTAATCATTATCCTGTTTTATGCCTGCTGCTAGATGAAGACTCCTATCAATTCTTCCCCAATTTGCTTTGTTGTGCATGAGCGGATTCCATTTTATGCCTACAAATGTTTTAAATTTCAACAGCACGCCTGACCATCTGCTATCCTCAGCTATGTTTCCAGTCTCTTGGTATCCATTCTGTCACACCAACTTGCCTCCATTTTTTTTACTTCACATTACATGACCTATTCAGGTCCTTTTTCTCTTGATGCCAACTAAGATAATTGGCTACTACTGTTTGTTTGCATATACTACTCTGAGACGTACCTCGGCATGGTCGAGTTGTTTCATCATTTCCATCTTCTTCAGCGACAGTGTCTACCATGGCTTTCAGATCTCGGCTAAGTGCAGTGCTTAGCTCATCAAAATACTCAGTATTCTCTTGAGTATTGGGTCCTTCCTTTGACCACTTCACACGTAGCACCAGCTTCTGTGACTCTGGAAGCCTGTCCTCCAGCTGAGCCCTGACTAGGTTGTACCTGCAAACCAGCCAAGCAATAAATATCATTTGGAAGGACAAGAAAAGTGGGGAAAGAAAGGCAGACACCAATGAAAAATGAGTAGGCTTACCGTTTTGAGTCAGAGAGGTCAACGGGGCCAGTGCCTTCAGCTGGTTCCACTAATGTTCCAACGACACTGTTGCTCCGCTGCGGACCCCTGTGAGTGAACCTTCGCTCCATCCAAAGACAACAAAGTGGTTTTTGGCTTTCAGTCAGCACAGCAGCTTCCAGTTCTTCTTCCACCACTGCAGAAATGCAAATCCAAATAACAATTTTTGCATAGCAGTAATATGAAACAGTACCCTGATTCCGTTCACACTTTTTCAATACTGCAACAGAATTCCTTTATGATAGCCTATATGATTTCTATCGTACAACCACAGAAGCCTAGTTTATTGCAAGCACAATTCATCCGTAATATTGATAAAGGAGAGAGTTAAATATTATGGCAGCACCTTTTTCATAACACAAGAATACTATTTTACTCCCAGACGTCAAATTCTTGTGCCATTTCAATGGTTTGGAACATTTTCTTAACAGTTTCTTGAAATTTAGATAAATATCCATGCTGCTAACATGTGTTGTAGGGATGGCTTGTGAATGGAAACACAGGAATTGCACAAAATAGACTAGCTAGAAAGGTATTAAATAATATAGTTGCTAGCTAAAAAGGTATTAAATAAAGACAGTTCAAAGGTGGTGCCTGCTTTTCCAATCGCCGCAATTTTTTAACTGTTTTAAAGTTCAAATCATTGCTGCTTCAGGTATCTTCTGAGATACCCAGTGCACACTACCTTTGGAGGTGAGTTTTCCCTTAATAGTTCTGAACTATTTTTGTACTCAGGAGCGAAGTTCACTTCCTGCCCACATAGCATAAAGACCTATATTGCTGCCAAAACTATCCCGAAGATTGCTTGATGGCACCCACCTTATGAACAGCTACTTACAGTCCTCTTTATAAAGTGAGTTAACAACTCAGCCTAAAGCACTTATCTTTACACTTGCTATTTAACTCTTTTGTTAGTGCGAAAATGGTTGTTTCATACATGTCTCGGGAAGATCGTTTTTGCCAGTTTGAGAAGTTCTCCAGCACGCATTGCAGCATATCAAACTTTCAACAATAAAATGCTCCTTTCAAAAAATATGTGTTTTTGAGCAACAAAAATATTTTAGAGTGAATAAAAATGTGAAAAGTGTGCAATTTTCGGTTGCCAGCTAGTAAACAGTGAAAAACAAAATGCTATATATGCAAAAATATTCAAAACAATGAATATTCAGAATATACATTTTGTAGATAAATGACCCAGGAATAGTCTGAAAAACAATGAATGTAGTACAAAATGTTTCTCTTCACATAGACATAATGAATGTAGTACAAAATGTTTCTTTTCACATATACAAAGCAAATCAGAACCGAGGTGCTGCTTCGTTGCTCGTGCCATGAGGTGAGATTGCACATTCATGAGAAACAAGTGTACTCATACACTTTGCCCAGTAAATTTTTGTTATCTTGTGATAGAGTCTCCAGGTGTTCAAATATAGATGGATACCCGTGATGGGAATAATCCCTCTATAAATGAGATGTCTAATGAACTTGGCTATTTCATCTAGCGTCACCTCTTTTCATTAGCCACCTCATTCTGCATAGGTTGGCATTCCAATATATGATTCCAAACATATTCGGATTTTTGCACATATTGTATTAAAAAGGGACAATATCGCGCTCAGTTCCAAAACAATTCGCCCTGCTTCGTAGTCATCCGTAGTCAGGTGCAAGGCCTTCTTGTAGTTAGGAGAAGCTCTGTAGCCAGTGCCCACACACCCTACTCCAGCAAAGTGTGGGCCATGCACGTAACCAGAGTAGCTACAAAACTGTGCACAAAGGTCAGAAACTATACTCACTTGCGGCGGAGAAGACAACTTGAAGATGTAAACAAAACAAGCCCATGAACGGCTGTAGATGTCTCAGGCTGACGCAAAACATTGTCACCATAAAACTTGAAGCTGAGGTGCTGTCATTGCTGAACTCTAAGCTCATCCTCACTCAATTCAGGTGGGGTTGCAAGACAATTTCGAGCAGCACATGCGTTTTGCAGCGCTGGTGTGCACCCATGGACGCGTGATGACGTCATAGAAGTGACTAATGACATTAAATGTGACCCTGTGTTTGATACAACAATGCAAGCAAAACCAAAGCTGCTGGAAAGTGTCAAAGGCCACCTCAACACTTTAAACATGCAGTGGACCTCCATAAATATTCTTTGTAGAACAAACGTTCCCTGACTTCTAGAAACAGCTCTCTCTTGAATAGCTGGCATAACTTTCTGGCAATTACTACTGCTCAAGATAGTCAAATTACGAAGCTTACACTTAAATTCCATATTTAGATTGCAAAGGTTCTTTTCATTACATAACTTCGAGGTTACTGCAGCATAATCACTAGGGGCATGCACTTCAGTCAAGTTCGCCAGCCTAGTGCACTTTTCAAACAATACACGCACATTGGTTCACGCAAATGTCTGTCAAAAATTATTATGTTGCCAAAATGGGCAAATCTAAAATTGATTCTGAAAGTTGAGTGGCTGGCCTAACTACTAGAAGTGCTGGCTGCACGAGAAAGAAAGTTAAAATGCCAAAAACAATGATCCAAATGCGCCGATCACCGGTGATCGATTTGAATAGACGTGGTAACGAAAGTTACAGGAATAGAGAAAGTTCCTGGTCTGGCTTTGCCTCTTCCCTGCGGGGTTCTGGGCTGAGGAGCCTCGAAACCTCTACAACGTGCATCACAATAAGTATCAGATTTTTTGTAATCAATTAGATTTAATTGTAAAATGGGCATTTTCCAGGTAGGTAGTCTGCGCATGCGCACTGGCATCAAAAATGCACGCGCCATAATTTTTGGTGGCCAAAACGTGATACGTGCGGAAGCGACATCTGGTGCCACAAATGTGCAAATGTTTCCCCCAAAGAGAGGCGCAAATACAGGCCTCCGAGATTGCCTACCAGTATGCGGCAGACAATTTCAGAGTCCAAGGGCCACCAGTTTTGATTTCAGTGATCTCCATGTGGGGTGCTGTTCGAACTAAAAAAAGGCCCATTGATTACTGGTAGTGATTTTTTTTCCCAATATCAAGTTGTAAAAAGCATTCTATAACAGTTCTCATCCTGAAAAATATGCAACCACTCAGTAGGGACTCCTCACCCTGTAAGATGAGGGGTCCTTACGGAGTGTATCTTTTTGACTTTTCTTTGGCCTTACTGCAAAGTTTTACCCGAGCGTAAGCAACTGCGATTCTCGATGCTTCATAGATAACATGAACACTAGCATTGAAGGAAGCACTGCAACTATGAGCTGGTGCTCAAGGTGTTCCTATGCTATAATACTGCCCTTCCTTACAGTGCATGCATTGAGAAAGTGTTAAGGTAGCAGCTGAACTCCTACTAAAAGTTAACAACATGTAACACTATATCACAGAAGCCACAGTATGTCTCCCACTCTTCACACAAGCCTCAAGCCTTCCTCTACCATGCAAACCACAGCAGTTCACTATAATTGAATTAAATACGTGTTACTGTAGTACCTAAATAAACATTCGAAGAAAAGTAATGCAAGAGTAATTGATAACATTTCTGTAATTACTCAGTTTCCTTTCTGGTCTGTAAACTATCTACTGTAATCGATCACATTTTAAAGGAAGTAATTGTAATTGGTTATTTCAACTTATTTCCTGCAATGTGAACAAGTCTGGTCTGTTATAAGTAATATCTGCAGTTATAGTAAATGAATGGTGATAACAGCTCATTTTTTGTTACCTAGCTGCAGTGCGAGCAATGCGCACACTGTCTCTTAAACGTATCTTATATTACTAAATGCCGACTGTACTCTCTCGCTGAATGTTTATATCTCAGAGCCTTACCTTGGGCTAGTCAAGACTGTCAGTGAACATTTCATTCTTATGGGGTTTGTGAATCCCACTGACCGCTTGAAGAGTAATTCATCAAGGAAATCGAGTCATATCTCTTCGTTTAATTTATACTGTAAGGCATACTGGCGCAACAAAAAAACAACAATAACGCTTCAAAACAGCACTCAGCTAGTTCAACAGTGGCACGCAGGAATGCTTGCCACTGTTGGAAATGCATGCCACAAATGAAAATCGTAGAGAAGCTGTCATAGTCACACACAGAAAAAGTTAATGACTGAATCACACAGTAACATGTTATGCCTTGTCATATTCACTTGATCTGGGTAGTGCTGGCACGGGGCAGGCTGAAAAACTAAAGTGTGAGGCCCATGCGCTCGTTGTAGTGACTGCTACAGCATTCACACATAACCCATAAACGCTTGCGTGCCCTTTGGTGGCACTCGTGTTTTTAAAGAAGGTCTGTTACGCACTAGAGTGATGGTGCATGTAAAGACCAACCACCACTTCATTAGTTTGTCTTGCGGGGCAAGCGGCTCTCGACAATGCTGAAAATACCTGACACGATTTCGCTGCTATTAATTTAGCATGTAAACGGCTTTTGTATAATTTTTAAAATCAAAGAGAAAGCACACCTTGAATACAATCCTATAGGACATCTTGCTCTATTGTTATGTTGTTACAGCAATGGTGACAATGCTGGTTCTGACAGTAGATTCTTACAAGGCCACAACCATAGTTTTACTGTGCAGAGATTTTTTCACTAATATTCCTAAGTAAAAAAAAAAAAACTATGCCAGAATTTTAGTAATTAATCATGACAAACTACCATTCTTGCTTTTTTTTTCCTACAATCACCCCTCTGTATCTCACAAAGATGATAAATAAGCTTATTATTATTATTGTTATTATTATTAAAATAATGTTATGAATATTCAAAGATAGGGGTTGTAACAGGGAGCTAACACTGCAGCCATTTATAATTCTAAGTAGAGTCATGAGTGAAGTTACAATTTGAGAGAAGCATGATTCTGCTGGCCAGTCAAATTTGATTTATCCAGTGAAGATGAATTTCAGAACTGAAGGAGCAAATCTTTCGGCTAATAGAACCATGGCTGCCTACCGGGACCTTACCATGAGCCGTATTGCTATCGGCTGCCTGTTTCTTCTCGATCCCTTCAGTTTTTGAACAAACTGAAGACTTGAATTACCATAATTACTAATGTAATGAATGCACTCGCATAATAAATGCACCCCAACTTCACTCGTCAAAATGTAGATTTTAAATGTGAATGCATTTCTTAGTCGGGGCATGCTAGGCATCTGTCGGTGTCCGCGTGCCGGCAGATGTTATCTCTTCGCTCTCACTCCCTCTCCCATAGCAACAGCTGCGGGTGTGCACGCTTATCCTCGCCCCTTGCAAACGGAGCAGGTGGTGCGGGCGGAGTAGCAGAGAGTGAGTGGAGAGGAGGAGTGGACTCTGGCGTATGAGGGCGCTCTCATTGCGGGAACTCGGCAGAGCACCTGCGTGTGTGGAGAGAGTGTAGGAGATGATAGGCGCAGTGCTTCACCACTACTCTCGCTATTCGCTCTCTCTCTTCCCTGCGCCCCGCTCTCCTGTCGGCTCGCTCGTACGTATATTCGCATTGCCCATAGACTGACATGCCGCACAGTGGATAGAAAAAAAAAAAATGCCTCGAGGAGGATCAACCTACGACGCAGCGCTTTCACGGGGCAATACCTGCCATGCAACACCTGTCATGCAGGCAGGGAGCTTTCGTTAGCCTTTTTCACTAATGAGTGGCAAAATGCAACATACGGGCGCTGTGCCGCGGAACACAAACCAGATTCGCAGCCTAAATATTGTTACATTCATTCTAGTGAAATATACCAATGTAAAATGCGTGGTGATTGGATGTGTGGTACTGATAATCTGTTGGCAAGTCTGCGCCACTTCAATACGCTTTGGAGGTGTGATCCCCTCGCATTCCCAAAATGTGATACTGCGTAGCCTTCAGGCAGCTTCTAAAGCAATACTGTCAGCTTCCTCCCTCAAGGCGTGGGAGTCACTCCTGTCATCAACTGACTACCGTGTTCAGGCAGTAAGTGATTATCTGGGATGAAACAGTCGTGGGAAGCTTTTGGCCCCAACCCTTCGTATTACCAGTAAGATGAAGTGATCGACCTGATAGTGCCGTCAATGAAGTTGTTTCCCTCTGTCCCTCAATATGCTTGATAGTATGCCATTATAAGAAGGAGAGGTGAGAAAAAAAGAAAGCACAAACTGGGCATGTGCCAATAGAAAAGTCACTGGCACGCTATGTTAATATACGTTTAGTGCAATTTTTCTGTTCTGAGTACCATTCAGAAATCAGCTGCACGATGTTACGAAGTCATCTTGATCAAAGCTTGTGTGTTGTAGAATCAATGTTAAGATAAGCTTATATATGTTAGCATTATCTGAGCACTTCCTGATTTCAGCCAACTGCCCAATCATTCACCGAATAAACATGTTTCTTTCTAACAAAAACTTCCTTATAAATTGGCAACACCAGTGTTTAACAAGCTTATAGTTGATGATAAATGAAATAAATTCTAGCTTTGTATTCTCATGATCAAAATGATTCAAGTTTCAAAATGCTTCCAAGTATAGAGAGATAACCGTATTCCTTCATAACATTCAAGCAACTTCATAACAGCTTGAAGCAATTTGTTCTCGCGAGCAACAAAGCGTCGCGCCTGGCATAGATAGTGCATTTCTACCCTTTTTGTATTTGTAAACTGACCATGAGGCCTTTCAAGACACCAAGTGTGCAAGCTGGGTCACACTATATAAAATAATGCAGCCGCTGTTTAATTGATAGAGAGTGGCATATGGCAGCCGCAAATGGTGTGTATTGTCACAACATTTATTCATGGAAAGCCAACACAACATCTGTGGACACAAGCGGGTCAGGGCAGCGGAGAATGAAGAGGTAATCGAATCTCGCAAATTGTGCTCAGGTTTTATCTTCGCCACCATAAAATTATCGGTTTGCAAATTTATGCTTATTTACCCTTCATTGTGAGTGTAATTGTGAAATATTTCAGTGTATAACTGGATGCTATGCCACGAAAGCAACCTGGCGTGATTACATTTGTCAAAACAAGTTCTACAACACGCTTTTATGCCCTCCTAGTCGCTCGCTATCATCCTCCGGGACACCATGTTGCTTTACCTTGCGTGGCACCTATAGGCCGCGAACAGTGCGAATATAAATGGAGTGAAACGCGCGCTTCACTCTCGACCGTTCGCTGGCTGAAGAATGTGTAAATAAATGGTTATAGCACAAACACTTGTATCTTCATTATTTTTATGCCATTAAAATTACTACACATGTACCCTCAGCACAAGAAATGCATTTGAATTCGTTCACACTTCCCTTAGGGAAGGTGGGGGCATTTTTTTTTTTCTCCTGCGTAATAAACATACCCCCTGCATTCGTCCGCTGCAGTCCCACTAACTGACACCAAGCACCTCCTTGCCCCCTGAATCTCTTTCGTTTTTTTTTTTTATGCCAACCCCCTTCAGCCACCTTGGCTCGATTCCCCCCCCCCCCCCCCCTCATTCACCCGCTGCTACGCGCTGTATTCTTGTTCTTTTTATCTACGTGTGGCACATCTCCTGTTTTTTTTTTTTATTACCTGTGCGCCAGAGCGCGGTTCACGAATGGTGCAAGTGTAGAGACATCGCAGCTAATAAACACACTGTGAGCGAAGGTCACGAAAATGCCCGCGCCTACCGGTGGTTGCTTCGTGCAAATACGAAACTTTGAAGGGGCCCTGCAACACTTTTCGAGCATGGTCAAAAAACAGTGCCGATCGCTACTATATTTGGCTCCCAAGAACACGCGAGCCAAATATTATAGTGCAGGACACATGCTGGAATTCACAATAAATTATCAATGTCAGCCAAAAACTGATTTCTCTTCTCTCGACAAATAATGGAAGATGCTCAAAAATCACTCGTAGAAGGCCTTCTATCAGACATTGGCTGATTTGAACATGGCGTGCTCGGTCATTACAGGGTTCGCCGCGGGAGGCTCCGACTTGTCCACGCGTGCATGCAATGTCACACAGAAAAAGCCGCATATTCGAAGGAAAAAAATGCTCGAAGTCACGAGGCGCGCGTGATGTATTTTATTTGCCCTTGCAGTCTTTCTCTGCTTCGCTTCCAGCATTTTTGTCAGGACAGGAGAAGAGAGAATGCAATTGCAACATGCGACAAATACTTGCAACTCTGCTCGTACTGGACGAATTCCTCAAATTTTTGCGGCGTTGAATTCGTGAGGCAATAAGCTCTTTTAGTGAATCCATTCCATGGTTACTCAAAAAAAGTGTTTCATGGCCCCTTTAATGCCCACCCAAGGGCCATTCATTGCAGGTTTGCAGGTTTCTGGAAAACCAGAAAAAGTCGTGTGTCACCTAAAAATGATCCTGACGGTTTCCTCAACATGGTAGCACCCCCGATTCTCGTTTCAGCTGCAATTTGCTCTTCATGCTTGTTATCCGTGCGCACTTCAAGGAACGCAAGATAGGCTACCTTTTTTACAGTAACTTCTCATGTGCACAGCGATACGACAGCCGCATTTTGTCCGTAATTTTGTCATCGACGGTTTGTTTTGGATGATTTGGTGGTAGCTTGGTACAATGTCAACGGCGTCGTTATGGTCGTTGGGTGAGGTTGCCACGAAGTTGTTTAAAGTGCGTCATAGCATCGTAGCGCACGCTTCTTGACGCCCCTCGAGATCACAGTAGATACGACTGTTGCATTTAAACGATTACGAAAAAAGCCATGAAACGCTTTTATGGAGTGCGTGGGCGGCACAGAGACAGCTTGCAGAAGATAGCACCTTGAACTACCGAATATAATTGAAGTGCAACAAACAGTGTACATGTATGTCAATTGTGAAGGGTTAAACAACCCAACTTTTTTTTTGCATTACCCCAGTTTTTTCTTATCCCGAAAAAGTTAATAAAACTTGCCCCACATTATAAATACATTCCCAACTTCGCTCTGATTTTTTTGCGAAAGAAATTGCATTCATTAAGCGAGTAATTACGGTAGCTTGAGTTGTATTCACACCCACCATGGTAGGGTGTCGCACTGCTAAGCTTGAGGGAGTGAGTTCAATACCTGGTCATAGCAGCCACATTTTAAGGGGGACGAAATGCAAAGAACATCTTCGGTGTAGTTAGATTTAGGGTGCACAGTCAAGAAGCACAGTTGGCTGAATTTCCAGAGCCCCCTCACTACAATGTCTGATAATCATCTTGTGGTCTTGGGACATAAAACCCCAACAATTATGAGTCATATTTATGGAAGTCTGATGTACTTTTTACTTGGCTCCAGCCAATGTTTTTTAAAGTGACAACTAAAAAAAAAGAAAAGGAAGATTTATGGGCAATCAAATGCTACAGTTTACTTTTGTTTCTGAATTAATGAATTGTAAATTCCACAAAGAGGGGAAAAAAAAGAAAGCTTGGTTTTAGCAAATTAAGACCCACCTGAAACGAGATACTTCCCTCGTTGTTCTGTAGACAAAGTAGATCTCAGTGCCTCCACCATCAGTGATGCCTGCTTTTGCCATAACTCGAAAGCAGCACTCTGAGCTGAGGGATTAGAAGACATGATGTCTGGTATGTGTTCACGTATAGAACGAAGTCTATAACACTTTGGCACGCTGTTCAGGTCTTCCATGTACCATTCAAGTAGCAGTTGCTTCTGTTCCGATGATTCTACAGCATCAATAACACATTTGAGCACACTGCTAGGCAAGCTAGCAGGCAAGATGTGTGGTAGCTGGTTTTCCAATTTTTCGTTGAGAAGTACCTGCAGAATATTAGAAAGAATTATTATAAGCAGGAGGATTGACGTGTCCATTCAAAAAGTGTATGCATGGCTGCAATCACAAGTAATTCACCTCTACAGTCTGTTTTGTCCCCTGCATTACCTATTTTTTTATAGTGTCAGAGGAGCACTGAAGAATTTTAAATTGACAGTCTGATAAATCATACTTCTGGAATGCTATTAAGATTTAAAAAAAATATGAATGACTTACCAGCTAGACCATTCTTTACTTAGAAAGGACAAGAAAAACTAAGTTTAGGTGGTGATGGTGGTGCTGCTGATATCTTGCGATATTTTTTACATCAGCTCACCATAATGTCATATTATCTCAATGTGGTCATGCCTACTTAAAGGGGAGGGGCACTGACCAAAACTTTTAGCCTCAAGTTTTTCTGCTGTAATATGTTGTTGGGGGCCTGTTAGTCACAACAAGGCATATCGTTTACTGCTGCAAGCAACAGATAATTAATTATAGGCTCCTCATTACAGTCTCAGTTTCAGTTTCAGAAAGCTCTAAAAACAAGCCGCTGGTTGCAATTATCACCACCTAGTGGGTGCAATGCTCGACCACGTCAGCACACAAAACTGTGATTCACTTCGGTGCGGTACGCATCAAGTAGTCTGTTCAAACAGGAAACGGGACAGCAGTATCGCCAAACACAAAACTTTCAGCACGTCTGCCTAAACCATGGAATTCCGAGCAGCCACCATGTAGTAGTCTGCTGAAGCAAATGCAGCAAAAAAAATGACAGCAGTGACGTCATCATAACTTGTCACGACTGCAGCCTGGCAACATCAGGAAAGTAGGGGGCGCACTAGATTCGTGCACGGAAGCTTCAAAATTTATGTAAAATACCTTCCACGCTATGTTCACTATTGATATTTTGCAGATTATATCCGCATGTTTTTAGAAATCGATCACGTTGGTTATATCAGCCCCAAAATTTTATGTCAGTACTCATTTAACTGTTCGTTAAAGGAAACTAAGAAAGGAAAAGAAGATATACTTTTCAAAAATAAATAGATGAATATAAATTACCGGTCCAACCTGGTTGCTTCTGCACTCATCCTGCACACACCCACAAATAAAGGTTAATATTATGAGCTTCCTTTTGCTTAAAATACTCCACTTTCTTTCTTCTTCTTTTATTATTATTATTATTATTATTATTATTATTATTATTATTATTATGAAAGAATGGTCTACATATGTAGGTTTGTTTTGCACTGCTTTTTAGCATGTGTGTGTTCTGTGCACACAAATGAGAATGCATAGATGCATCTCTTGGTTTAATTTACTATTTGACTAATAAGAATTGTAGCCACTCAAAAGTCATTGATTGATATGTGGGGTTTAACGTCCCAAAACCACCATATGATTATGAGAGATGCTGTAGTGGAGGGCTTCAGAAATTTCGACCACCTGGGGTTCTTTAACGTGCACCCAAATCTGAGCGCACGGGCCTACAACATTTCTGCCTCCATTGGAAATGCAGCCGCCGCAGCCGGGATTCGAACCCGCGACCTGCGGGTCAGCAGCAGAGTACCTCAGCCACTAAACCACCGCGGCGGGGCGCCACTGAAGAGTCAAGGATGCAGCCTTTCTCAAGGACTCAGTTTGCAAGGTCTCCTCAAATCCTTTGGCTATTTGAATAAATAAAAACAATAATACGAAAAAAAAATAACAGTTCTGCCAAAAAGATGTAACAATGCAATAGCGACAAATTGAAATGTTATACAAACGAAGATAGCAGCCAGTTTGTATAGCTTCCATTCTGGCGTAACACAACAAAACAGAGGTATAAAGAAATGTGCCCACTGGAGCAGGAGTCCATCGAGCGTCAATTCTCTTCAGCTATTCAATAAAAATGCAGTGCCTGTTCAGCAGCTCACAAAATAATCAGTACTCCTAATGCAGAAGACCCTTGAATCTAGCAATGTCTTCCAAATGACCTTGTGTACTAGCAACTGCCCTTAAAACAGGGATTTAGGGCTGAAAATGCAGGCAATCATTGGTTGATTGTGTTACAAAGTGAAGATGGTGTTAAGGTGTTTTCCACCATGAATATTCTGTGCAATGAACTTCCAGGTATAGTTAAGGGTTTGATTGCAACATGGGTCTCGGGCACAGCATTCTATCGCACACCAGCTTAACTCTTAGAAGGCTTCATGATACTACTCTTCCAGGTCTCAAATGCGGTTAAGAATTTGTAAAATTGCTTGATCTCATTCGAAGATCCTTCCTCCCAGGTTGCATGGCACTTAACCAAAGTATAGCGGAAAAGACAAGCCACTTTTCCTATAGTGAGGCCCCCTACACCTAGCAAGTACACAGTTGATGATCCTGATCGTGCCTCTTTTTCACCTCCTACGCATTTTTAAATAGTGATCAACAAAGGGTTCCACGGGTCGACTTTTAAGGAATCAAACTAATAAAGAGGGCCAAAATGACACAGCTGCAGAATACTTCAGAATATTGACGCGTGTCTACATGTGGACGATAACGATGATGGGGCATTTAGTGGGCACGAGGTAGTGGGCCTCTAGCTTCACTCGAGGCCGAAGAAGACGATCTTGTGGCTCAGCTGTAGAGAACACGCTGCTTTCGTCGTCCCAAGGTGTACTTGTGTTTTATTTGCGTTGTACCGCGACACTGGTGGAGGTGCTGGGCCGCAACCCTGTCTGATGCTCCACACGCCCGCTGGGAGCCGTTCATCGAGTCCAGACGCATTGTCACCTGTAGAAACTCCGGTGCATCGCTCCAGTCGATGGTTGCGAGGCCTCGCGCCAGATCTGACTCACTCGCCGGAACCTGCTAGGCATCGCACACCTCAACCAATGGCCAACGCAAGCCCGCAACAGGTGCCCCAAGGCAGCTTTCTGATGCACCCATCTCAGGTGACCCTCTTTCGACCCCTCGTTCCCAATCGCTTTAGTGGTGGTGCCCATGAAGACGTTCACGACTGGCTCGACCACTACGAGCGTGTTGCCAAGGTAAATCAGTGGTCGGAACAGGAAAAGCTTTCACCCGCCTATTTCTACCTTGACGACGGTGCTCGTACTTGGTATGAGAATAGAGAAGGCAATCTGTCAGCTTGGCCCGACTTTCGACAGAAGTTCGTTGATACCTTCACCAATATCGATACAAGGGACCGTGCGCAGCAGTTATTGGAGCTACAGGTTCAAAAACCCAACGAAACCGTTGCAATGTTTGCCGAGGACATGACTCGTCTCTTTCATCGAGCTAACCCGCACATGACGGAAGATAAAAAGTTGAGTTACCTGATGCGCGGTGTCAAGGAACAGCTTTTCGCCGGGCTACTGCGCAACCCTCCAAGTACCGTGGTTGACTTCATTAAGAAGGCTACGACTACCGAGCGGGCCCTTCATCAACGCTGCAGGCAATATGACCGTATGTCCAGCAATGTCCCAACCAATGCTATCGCCATGACGTTTGAGAGTCAGAGCTGCTTGCGAGACTTGATTAGGGAGATAGTTCGCGAAGAACTGCAGAGGTTGCGGAATCCTGTTGCTGAAAATCCCATCGCGTCGATCGCTGAAGTCGTACGCGACGAAATCCACTAAGGGTTCTTTACGGCTAGTCCTGATGCTCAGCAGCGTCCTATGAGCTACGCTGCCGCTCTTCAACGTCCACCACCCACTATGCCGACGTTGTACCACCAGGTGCCAATGGCCCCTTCGTATCCGCCGCAAGAGCAGACACTGCATCAACCACCCACGCTACAGCCATACAACCAGCCGTCCACAGCCATCTCATGGGCTTCGACGCGTCCACCGACCCGGAAAACAGATGCATGGCGCACAGTAGACAGACGTCTACTATGCTTTCATTACGGAGGTGCAGGACATAAGTTTGACGCCGAAGGAGTTGCAGACCAAATAAGCTCGCTGCTCTTCACCCACGGTATTTCTGTCGCACGAGGTATCGTCAGAGTTGCTGCTGGACGCACGAACTTGTTGATGACCAATTTTAGTGCTGAGCGCCGGCACCGTCCTAAAGGCACGGCTGTCGCTTACTTCGACGATGTCGTAGATGGTGAAGGCTGCTTGGCAGTAGTCGACAAGTCGCTAAATCTTGATTCAGCGCCTGTTCCGGACGTTAGCATTACTTTGCCGAAAGACGACCTACGCAGACTCCTTGAGCTACTGGCCAAATTTCAAGACTGTTTTTCCACAACATCAAGAGTTGGCCGCACGTCTCTAACCAGGCATCGAATAATTACCGAGGAAACGGTGAGACCTATTCACCAGAACCCTTATCACGTGGCTCCAAAAGAACGTGAAGGGATACAACAGCAGGTAGACAGAATGCTTGAAGATGACATCATTCAACCTTCACAGAGCCCCTGGCGTCGCCTGTAGTTCTCGTTAAGAAAAAGGACGGCAGCCTGCGCTTCTGTGTGGATTACCGGAAGCTAAATCAGGTGACCAAGAAAGACGTATATCCACTACCGCGTATAGACAACTCTCTTGACAGACTTCGACATGCTCGATACTTCTCTTCAATAGGCTTGCGGAGTGCATTATGGCAAATCGAGGTGGTCCCGAGAGACCGCGAGAAGACCGCTTTTGTGACACCAGATGATTTATATGAATTTAAGGTCTTGCCATTCGGTTTGTGCTCAGCCCCTGCTACCTTTCAAAGACTCATGGATACCGTGCTTTCTGGGTTGAAGTGGAAAACATGCTTAGTATATCTGAACGACGTCACAGTGTTTTCCGCGACGTTTGAGGAGCACCTTGAAAGACTTGAGGTGGTCTTACGGGCCATACAGTCCGCGGGCCTGACGTTGAAGCCTGAGAAGTGCCACTTTTGCTACGAAGAGCTGCGATTTCTTGGTCATGTCGTCAGTCATGCTGGTGTTCGTCCCGATCCTGAAAAAATCGCAGCCGTAGAACAGTTCCCTATGTCGACCGATAAAAAGGCTGTCAGACGCTTTCTCAGCCTCTGCGCATATTGTCGACGATTTATCGCGGACTTCGCACGCATAGCATCACCGTTAACTTGCCTCACGAGAGAAGACATCACCTTTGAGTGGAATAACGAAGAGGAAGCTGCTTTTAACGATCTTCGCCAGCGACTACAAACACCCCCAGTCCTTGCCCACTTCGACGAGAGAGCCCCTACGATGCTTCACACCGATGCTAGCAATGTTGGTCTGGGAGCTGTGCTTGTGCAGCAGCAAGAGGGCACGGAAAGGGTAATCGCTTATGCAAGTAGAACGTTAACACGCGCTGAGGCTTATTACTCCACGACTGACAAGAAATGTCTCACCGTGGTATGGGCGGTTACAAAATTTGGTCCGTATTTATATGGCCGCCCCTTCAAAGTAATTAGCGACCACCACTCACTGTGTTGGTTAACTAATCTTAAAGACCCTACCGACCGATTAGCGCATTGGAGTCTCAGGCTGCAGGAATTTGATATGGCAGTCGTGCATAAGTCAGGGAAGCGACATATGGACGCCGACTGTTTGTCCCATTCACCCATTGAGTCGGCAACCCTACCCGAGGAGGAGGAAACATCATTTCTCGGTGTCCTTGACATGACCACCATTGCACAGCAACAACGAGAAGACGCTGAGTTGCTTGGCTTAATTACCTACTTGGATGGCAGATCTCGGAAGGCGCCAAGAGTTTTCGCAAGAGCGTTGTCATGGTTTTGTTTACGTGGCGGAGTACTCTACAAAAGAAATTTTTCGTCGACGTGATCTGCCTATCTACTTGTCATCCCAGCAGCCCTTCGCACCGAAGTACTGAAAGCATGCCACAACGAGGTTACCTCTGGCCACTTGGGTTACACGAGAACGTTGGCCAGGGTACAGCAAAGGTATTACTGGCCAAGACTAACCACAGCCGTGAAGCACCACGTTCGTACCTGTCTCGACTTCCAGCGACGCAAGTCACCACCAACTAAACCAGCTGGCCTCCTGCAACCCGTACAGGTCCCAATGACTCCATTCCACCAGATCGGCATGGACATTTTGGGCCCACTCCCTACTTCTACTGTAGGCAACTGATGGGTTATTGTCGCGACAGATTATTTGACCCGTTATGCCGAGACAAAGGCTATTCAGAGAGGTACAGCAGCGGAGGTGGCAAGATTTTTCATCGAGAATATTGTACTGAGGCATGGTGCACCAACCGTCGTAATCACACACAGAGGAACCGCATTTACGGCAGCTATTTTGGACCATGTTTTGATGCTGAGTGGAACAACCCATCGTAAGACCACCGCATACCACCCGCAAACGAACGGGTTGACAGAGCGTCTAAACAAAACCATTGAACACATGCTTTCGATGTACGTAGACGTCGAACACAAAAACTGGGATAAAATCTTGCCTTACATAACGTTTGCATACAACACGGCCAAGCAAGAAACGACCCGCATGACACCTTTCAGCCTCGTTCATGGACGGGAAGTACGAACTATGTTAGATGCAATGTTACCGCACGAAGGCGACGACATCGTCCCGGAGCCGACACGTTTACGGAACGCGCAGAAGAAGCTAGGCAACTTGCACGTTTACGGATCAGCCAGCAGCAAGAGTACGATGCAGGCCGCTACAATGCTCACCGCAGAACGGTCATCTACCAAACTGGCGACAAAGTATGGGTTTGGACACCCGTACGAAAACGAGGACTTTCCCAAAAACTCTTAAGAAGATACTTTGGGCCGCATCTAGTGCTGCGACGATGAGCAATGTCATTTACGAAGTTGTTCCCGACTATTCGTATAGTACAAGGCGTCGCCAGCACCATCCTGAACTCGTTCACGTAGTCCGCATGAAGCCTTACATCAGCGAGTGATTGCGTGATACTTTACTTGAGAAAAAAAAAAAAAAACTGCATTACAGACTGCGCATCGGGGCGATGCTTTTTGAGAGAGAGGCAATTGACGCGTGTCTACATGTGGACGATAACGATGATGGGGGATTTAGTGGGCACGAGGTAGTGGGCCTCTAGCTTCACTCGAGGCCAAAGAAGACGATCTTGTGGCTCAGCTGTAGAGAACACGCTGCTTTCGTCGTCCCAAGGTGTACCTGTGTTTTATTCGCGTTGTAGCGTGACAATATTTCTACCAGCAGTGCATCCAGGCATTGTAGAGAAAGACAGAAATATGCACTTAGCATATAAGAAAACCATCAATTGGTTCCATGTAATGTTCAGAGGGAACATGGAGTCTATGAAAGACATGATTTTTTTCCCAACTTATACCAAGTGTCCACTATGAAATAAAGTGGTATGGGTCACATATAAATAAATGCAATGCATTGACAGAATTCTATGTTACACAGCTGTGCCACAGTCTAAATTTTTTTCACTGCAGTGATAGCTCATTTTTTACTGATGAGGATAAATTACAAGCACTTTAAGAAAGCCCAGATTACAAACTGGATATACACAGAGTCAAAACGGCTTAGCTGCATTGTTTCTATTTCTTTTCAATCTGTCTGTGATGATGAACAGTGGCATTACATACATAATAGGGCTGGACGAGTGATAACTTAACCTTCTAAATATGTCGGATTAATGCTTTAATCATGAATATATTGTTTATTGTGACCAATTGGTTGAGGTCACATGAGCAAAAAGCAGGCAAGCATGGCATCACCATCACTATTTCACATGCACAACAGACAATAATGGAACCACAGACTAAGCTAGAATGTTATGACAGATGTGTTACATAAATGCATGTCTTCCAAAAGTAAGGACGAAAGTTGCCCTTGCATGTCGCCCTTCATGCCAATCAGAGAAGTGATCTCCCGAAAAACCTTATCTCAAAAGTACTTGTAACTGAGTCTGTGTGAGTTTCATAAATCAGTTTAACTGATTATGTTATTTAACTGATTATGTATTTGATTGATGAAAAAGTAAAAGTTCACTAGTGCAAAATTCAATTCAAAGCAGAGACCTTACACACGCACACACGCGAACATACACCTATGTACACACACACGTATGCACTTTTTCCTGTTGTGCTTCTTGAAGTAAAGTGGAACAAAAAAACGTACACTGGCAGCACAGAAACAAAGAATGGATAACTCCCTACCAGTGCCAGAAAGTGGCCTTGAGTGCGCAACTGTGCAATGGTCTGGCGGCAAAGGTGTGCAAAGGTGTCACGATCTATGGCCTCCACATGGATGCCCCAGTGAAGGTCCACCACATTTAGATCATAACCTCTGTCAGCAGCATAGGCACGGACACTGGGATAGACGTGCTGTTCCAAGTGTGCGCGCTCAGCCTCCATGTCAGCAAGGCCACAGCAGATGTATACGCTGATAAGCCGACTGCCTGCAGCCAGCAACGATGCAGGCACAGCACCCAATCGGCCAAGCAACAGTGCCTGTACATCATCTGGAAAGCTCTGCAGGCATGGCAACCCATCATCGGAAAAGGTCTCACTGCCTGGTGCTGGGCTCTGGACGCACAAAACACAAATGGCATACGACATAGCTTTTATGGGACTTATAGGCTTATCTACAAGCATGCTGAGACAGGCATTGCATGTTAAAAAAGCTTTGTACGTGTCACTCTTCGGAACGATCAATCGGCATTCATGACATCTATGTGATTTGGCAAATTTCAAAGTGGCAATTCATTATAGTATTCATTAATTACCAGGGCACCCATACCTATGAAAAATATTTTTTGTTCCTTCATGATCAATATAGAAAATATAAAAAATATTGATCCTGAAGAGCAAGAAACCTGACCTTCAATGTTGAACTGTACATAACTCAAAACCAGTAAGTGTTATGATAAATGTAAAAGGTGGCACAACCGATAGTGTTGCTAGTTCAGAGTACAAATGGAAAAGCACTTGTTTGGAGCGTCTAGCCAGCCACTTCAGCTGCCGTTTTCTTCAGAAATGTGCAAAGACCGATGCTACAATAATACCTTACATAGTCATGCTGCATGCTATGTTCTCGTGCTGAACGCATGAACGAAAGCAGGTAGCTAACGTGAGGTAGCAGTTTTGGGCAACAATAGCGTCTACAGCCATGAGCTCCACCACTCTAGACAAGTGTAATTCCATCTGTACATACATAATATTGATCACAATTTTGACCTTTTGACTACTAAGTTTTCTTTTTGTTTTATTTTACGCTGGTGAGAAAGTATGGTGCTCCACAATATATGTTTAAATATGTTTGCTGGCATTTGGTTTTCCACGTGAAAGAAGCCTAACACAGTACAGACTATAATTTTTTGAGAATGCACTAGTGCTCAAGAAGAAATGCAGGGACCATATACCAAAAAGTCAGCAAAAATGGCCTTCATTGCATGTCTCATATGTATTACAACATCCTGAAACATGCAGAACTTGGAATTATATAGGCCCGTTACGGCATGAGCTTTTGCTCCCCGAGTTGCCTACCAACTTTCATCACAAGCCGCTGTGTGAGTGGGGACGCTTTGGCTAGTAGAATCGATTCATCTAGTAAGAAAAAGGGGTAGGGGGTACGTATTATATCTTCATGTATGCTTAGATATAAAAAGAATGTGAGAGGGGCAACGTGCATAGAAGGTTAGGCACAAATTTCACTGCTACAAAAGGCTGTGACTTGCATGGAAGCTCTTTGGCTGACTAAGTAATTCAAGCTGCATGCGTTAAATACACCAGTGTTTACTGGATATGACACAGACAAACTATACAAAATGAGACAGTGCACGCAGGTTATATTATATGTTGGGCAGCACATGCAAGAAAGAATGTAGTTTTTTTTTGTATACTACATCCATGAGCCTCTAACAAATGGCCCAGCTTTGCTTTTTTTGTACATACTGAGTGCAATTCACCAATGTATATACTCTTATTTTTAAAAGTGATACAATATCTAAGGAGCCTATGAGGCTTGTTTATTTATGTAAACACCACATAACCAGAAACCTAGACCTGATACAGCCCAGATGCATATTTGCATGCACAGGCAAATTAATGCAATAATGCTAGGAACAATAGTCTATTTCTGTGTTCAATTTACTCTGTGTGCCATCATCCAAAATAATCTGCTGTCTATTCATGAACAACCCAACAATAGAATAATAGTCAACAATTGCAATTACAACTACAATTACAAAATAATTGTAACAATCAGTGACTGTGCAGCTATTCATGAAGGAGAAAAAACAGGCTATAATTTTTACCGTTGATAAAGATGCGCGCGCACACGCACGCACACGCACACACACACACACAGTGATAAAAGACAAATATAAATCCACTCACAGTGACTTGAGGTGCTGGAGATGCAAGGGAGCCGCTATTCTGCTGCACTTCTGTTAAAGAGGTGTCAACTGGAGCTAAAGGAGGCGCTGTACTTCCAGAAATGGCTGTAACAGATGGGTCAGATCGTGAAGGTGGTGGTGTGGACTCCTTGCCATATGGTAGGCTGTCTGTGGAGCGCACTGAACTGCGTCGTCTTCCTTCAGGAGAACAACTGCTGAAAATTGCACAAACAAAAATACACTAAGTGTGGGCATACAGACTATATGCACGTTTGAGAATAAGCACTAAAACCACAAAAAGCAATGAGAAGGGAGAGATAGGAATTTATATCTAAACGAAATGTTGATTTGTAAGAAACTTGTGAGAAAAGCGCAGATAGACTAACGTGCTTTTGAGACTATAACAGCAAGATCTCCAAGTGATCAACCATTGTAAAGCAGTGCAAGATATGAATAAAAATGAAAAAAGAGAAACAACATTGATGTATACATTATTTTCACTGCTGTTATTTGAATTTAATCTAACTTGCCTAATTCTGCACTATTTTCCACATACGCTATGTTCTACGAAACTTCTCAGCCAACACTGAACGACTTGTGGGCTTGCCACGGGATGTGTACCTACTCAAAGCCATTCTAAGTTATGAGTGCGAGTACCAGACAGAGTTTGGAGATAAACGTGTACATGTGTACCTGCACGTAAGTTGGCATGCAAGTGTAAGCACACACAATTTTTTAGTTTACATAATTGTGAATCCAAATGAATACTCATGACTTTTCTTGAACTTGCTAGAAAAATTAAACAACAGCGTAAAAAAAAACACACTGTTATAATGAGAAGATACAAACTAAAGTGAATTCACCTCCCTGAGTAGAACTTGACCAAATCCATTCTCTTGGGGCGAGCTGCATTAATTACTCACCACTAACCCAAACATGAGCAAGAGTGGAAACAAAGACTATATGCACGTTTCAGTACTTGTGTCTTTGAGTACTCCTCAACATCAGTACTTGTGTCTTTGAGTACTCCTATTATATCTTGCAGTAAAGGTGTCCTTTTTTTCTTTTTTGCCAGTGCTATCAATGGAGCCCCACATTTGTCGCTGTTTTCTTCCATGACGAAGGCTTCGACTATTTTATTTGCTCCTTTATCATGGTTCTTACAACATGTGTTTCATTTATTTATCAGCATATTTACACAATTTGCAATGGAATGACAAATGACTTGTGTGCAAGCATAACTTATCGTGTGTAATATTCTGAAATATGACTACTTGAAGCGGCGTGCACAGAATGCGGACAAAGGGAAGGAGGGGAAAAAAGGGGGCACTTCAGCGCCTGTTTGTGCTCCTCCTTTTCTTCGTTCTCGTCTTCTGCGTGGTGCTTCAACCCAAGATGAACGCCTACCATCTCTCTCAAGTTTATATTCTTATGTACTTGAAGAGTCAACTTGTACAGACACTAGCAGGACCAGAGAGGTGTTCTCAAAGAGTTGTAAAATTTTATTGCTTGTTTTTTCCCCTTTTTGCAATGTATATACCTTACAATGACAGCCATATTGTTGTTAATTTAGCAATGCACCACGTTCTTTTCCTTCACTGCTGTCCACTACGGTCACAGTTGAGATAGTTCACTACTTGAGTGAACTAGCTCAAGCAATGAACTACATCTTGTATGCCTGTTACACAAGTGCCTGATGTTTACACACCAACTCTCATTCGATAGCATAGGTGGACATATAGTTTGCTGTGTTTGTATAACTTGAAATGATGCAAGTGAGTAAGCATCGCAAAGCATTTTGGAGGAATTCACCACTTACACACTACCATTACTATTTCAATACGCACCCTTTCTTCTTCTTCTTAGAACGATCCTTGTCCTTCTTTTGTGCAGAAGAACAGCTGCTACCCATAACTTTTGTTCCTCTTCACTGTCTTCAAAAAGTAAAAGGTGCAATTCTGAAAAAAAAAAAAATACACAGCTTGGTGTATTATTAAGACCCAAGTGTTGCCCTCAACAAAACTACCCTAATGAGAAATGCAATCTAACGTTGCTGCAGCAAGACAGAAATTGTGAACTCCTTTACAATTTTTCCATGATTAGAAGCAAACAAATTGCCCACAACGAAGCAAGTCAACAACACCTGTCTGTATGAAGGTGAATGAGGTCCACACATGAAGCGTCATCTAAAAAAAATTACGAGAATATAGAGAAACATTTCAAAATTAGTTTAGTTTTGCATTCTTTTGGTGCTTTGTCATTGGCTTGAGCCCTTACTATTGCTGCTATTGTAACCCAAGAGAATAGATCATTAAAAACAGAAGCAGATGAAAAAAACCTTCCAATGTATTATCCTACTTATACACAATGAATCATTTGCTTTCATCAAGTCAGAGGCACATGAACACCACACTACATGCGATTCAGGTAAGGCCCTCAACACAACACATAACAGCATGCATATTTCAAAAATTTTGTAACATAAATAACAGCATAATTGATATAGTAGTATGATGATAACCTTTGCTACTTGATTGGTATTCAAACTAAAATTTACAATTTAAATCATTTGAATGCTTGGTTATATTAGATTATTGGATAAAAGTCGAACTGGAATCTACAGGGAGAAAGAATCATGCAGTATATGTGTTCCAAATGATTCTACTGTACAAAAACTATGATTGTTACACAGTGACATGAGTTCCTAAATAAATGTATCAACAGCTAATTTTAATACAATACTTTTCGGTGATGCAAAAAGTATGCCCCAGCTTTAGAAAGCCAACACACTCATCTTTACAAAGCATCACATATCACAACCATTTAGTTGTTTCCCATGTGATAAGATCATATTCTGAAAATGTTAGTGGCACATTATGACAGTAGCGCTATGTGTGTATGCGTGTGTTCCTCTGTTATGTGATCCACCTCCAGTGCAAATTTACAGTACTGATTTACAAGATAAAATTATCCTTAAGCACAAAATAAATTATTATGATGAGGAAATTATACTAAATGTAGAGAGAGCCTTAGCAGGACAGCCAACTTGCAGATCCTCGTACATTGCCAACTTCCCAAATTCCTCCTTTCCCGTTCCCTACATATGTAATTGGTCTGAACAACACAGCACCACTGCTACTGCCACAATCAGCTGCTTTGTGTACCTAGTAGTAATAAATTCCAAATATATACAGTCAACATCCTATTCCATGTGCTTAGCTTTTAAAAACTTTCAAATGGCCTCAAGGTAATGTTTAAGATGTTTCAGCCCTTCTACAAAAAGTCTGTTCACTTGAAATGATGAAAATTTTTGCATAGTCAGTAGCATGGGTAATTGTTTGATTTGTCTTCTAGTTAATGAAATAATGTTATATTCGTGACCACCATTTTTTTTTCTCAAGTAACCCTGGAATGTGGCGAAACAGCTACACATCAAATAGTAACAAATTGTTCACTTCTATTTTCAACCAGACAGAGTAAACTTGAACAAAATACAATGCCAAATAATATCCGAGTTATAAGTGAATTACAAGAGCAATTTATTAGTAATTAGTTATTTGAGCTAGCAACAATCATCTGCTCAAGAGCAATCCAAGTTAAAGAATGTTACAGGTCCAATTGGTCATATTATGTATACATCTTGTATTTATTCACTATGTATTATGCATTATGCACATTTTATACATGAAGTGTTCAATTTTTTTTGTCGTTTATAGTGGTGTTTGATTCCTTTACATTTTTTTGCTCCTTAATGTTATTTTTGAGCCCCTCTTACACAATGCCCAACAGGCCTGTCAAGAATTTCAAATAAAATGAATAATAATATGAAGTGTTAGCCAAAGTCCACAAAGTAAAGTGGACTGGGAACAAATCGGAATATTACACTTCGATGAGATAGTCCTATTAAACTCCACATTTCCAAATGGCAATGCTGATTTGTACACAATTTTTCATTTGGCCTTACTGTGGGAAAGCTTTTTATTCCAGAAGGTTGTACACATTCCCACAGGAACAGGCCATTTCCAATTGGAATGTTTTATAGTTCAATTGCTTGTACATTTGCAAGTGGGATCAATTCAGTAAAACATTGATTGCTCTACCTTTGAGTTGAACTGTTTGTACATCATTATTGATTATTAGATTTCATTGTCACAAGGTCAGTTGACACTAAGCAGTGCCCTTCCGACATCATTGTGAGCCCTGTTGGTATCAAACCCTTGAGTCATTTGAATACGGTCACAGGACGACATAGTATCATGAAAATTTGCATTTGTCCTCATTACGTGTCCAAGTGATAACGGAAGTTACATCTAGCCCTCACTATTGTCCACTACTTAGCAGGAGATAAATAGTGGACCGTAAGCAAAGGCGAGTCATGCACTGAGTGTTATTTCAACCTGCTTGAAATGCAATGTGCACATTTCTACATACTTCCCGAGCGGACAAATAGACCTCATTTAACTTCATTGTGCTGTGGGCTGCTGCAGAGGATCAGTGGGCTGAAAACACCGCAACGGCCAAAGAGCTCTTCGACATGCCCCACTCTGGGAGCCATGGCAAAATAATTTTTTTTGTTAGCTCAGAATGAATTGAGCCTTATTGTTGACAATTCTTACATAGAAATAGAACATCAGTGACTTTGCAATAAATAGACTTTAATAAGCAGTAATTAAAATGTATGATCCACAAAGTGCAGCATTTAATTCTATTTGAATTCTGAAGTCTGCCATATGAATTCACTGGTTAGTTTTAACGACCTAACACAATTTGATGGACCACAATTAACTGGCCTTATACTGATCCTTCCCTTTTGGCTGACCGATTGGCCGCCAGTTAAACTTAATTTTGAATACATTTCAATAAAACTGTGAAGCTTGGATTCAATTGGTTATATAACGTATTGCCTAATGAACTACAAAAGTCATTATTGGTTCAATCCCAGTTGGTAGTAGGCTAAACTTTTCAGATTAAACACACTGAATATTGTTGCTGGTGCATTAAGAAAAGATGCCACTGAGCTGACAATGTCATATGCCAGCGCCTGTGTGCCTGCAGCCCTCGGGAGACCAAAATCTGCCCATGACTTGATATCATCAACTGTGTGAGTGCAATACATCATGCTGGGTGGACCCCGCATAAGTTATATTAAATGTACTAATCACCCATTCAAATGGCACACTTTTGTTTCTTTTTTCCTGATGTTCATACATGCTGCCTCTGTCTGCAAGCATTTTAAATAAAACAAACACTCACCAACTTGTCTAGTTTATTGTTTTATTCAAGTAAATGCATCAGTATGAATAATTAATTGAGTAAATATTAATCAGTTTAAAAGCTATACATGACCAAGTCCTAAAAGTTATACATGTTATTATAAATACTAAAGGGCCCAGTAGGAATCGAGCGCATAAAACACATTCATGATGTGCATTTTCTAGCAGGGCTACAATATGCCATTCAACTGCGACTATCAGTTGCTTGATTGTTTTATAACTGAACGTGTAGTAGTTTGAGGTGAGAAGTGGCACTTATTTCTGCAATTTTTCAGGAGCATGAAAATGCATCATTTGGGGGAGGAAGAGAGAAGAAAAAGGCCACCTGCTCGAGAAATGAGTACCCACAATCAGTGGCGTAAATTCAGAAAAATCACAAGAGGGGACATGCATCCTGTCATGGTAGCCATTTTATTTTATAGATACAAATTTTCCTTTTGAATCATCCAGAAATTAAAGTCATACCTTGAAATAAAGTAAATAAAGTGAGCAAAGGCCTCAGCACTGGGCCAGGGGTCTAACAGTGATGAGCAGTCAATAGTAGAAACGTATGTTGAAATAAAATTTCGTAGTTTTACGGATAAATAGGAGCCAGCAGATTTCTATCAAATCTGTCATTCCACCTAACCAATCAAGCGCAAATGCTAGCACATTACGGTATAGCTTTTGTTCAACTGTCTTGTATACCTTTTAGAAATAGCCTAGTACTGTACTGAACTGTGCTGTATAGCCTAGAGTGTTCTATTCAACTGCCAAGCAATTCAAATGTGATGTTTGAAAGCTATATTTGAATATTAGAAAAGAAAGTTGGGCTAGTTCATGCATATTCACTGTGGACATAACTAATAAGTGCAAATAAAAATGAACAAGGTACAGACAACAGACAGGGCGTGAAGAGAACATGTTTTTTTTTTTTGCACTAATTACAGTGATGGAATCGACATCGTAATTTTTGAAGCAGATTCTGGAGCAGAAAAAAGTGCTTTAGAGAAACCTTGATTATTTTTGAAGCAGAAAAAATGCTAGCCTGGAGCAGCTATTGATGTTTTCGTAGCTGATTGTAAAATATTCCATTTGGGTCCTAGAGATTGATGCATTGTTTAGGCCCCTTATAAATATTATTTATTATTAAACATATTGCACATAAAATATTAACTGCATTTGCAAGAAATACAAATAAGCAGAAAAAATGGTCTCTGAACATTAAGTGTTATTTTCATGTTTTACAAAAGTAGCCAGCATTGAAAATTTCAAAAATCAAGTAAACTAAATGAAATAACATTTAAAATGTTTGTCCTTGTGACATAAACAAGGTTAAAGCTGTATAAAGTCGTAAATGTAATCAGTCACATATCAAAGCCATCACAGCAGTGGCTAGTATGCATTTCATCAAAATACTCTGTTTGTAAGACACAAATATACAAATATATCAGACATATATAGAAAATGCTAGAATGATAGCATTGTAAATATTCTAGTATACAGCTACTAAAAAAGCTGTATACTAGATAATAGTATACAGCTTGTTTTTGTTTTCATTCAGGCCAGCTGTATAGTCACATGTTTTTACTTCATTGTTTTTAGTTTCCCCAACGCCATTTATAAGCAGGTTCTGAGCAGTTTACAAAGAAATATTGCATTTTGGAGCAGTATTTCTCTTTTGAAGCAGTGGGAAGCGGCACTTCCATCACTATAATTATGTCCGCAGCCAAATTTCAAGGGTGACACACTTGCAAGGAGTATCCCCCCAAGCCCGACCAGAAAGGGGGGTCAGGACACCCTCGGCCTTCTTCATGATTTACGCCACAGCCCAAAACATGTCCCAGCATCAATTGGCAGTTTCTTCCCACTCCATCAGAAAAACCGGCCAGTCGGATTCGAACCCGGTACCTCCCACATCGGAGGCGGTACGCTCTATAAGCACATGATCACAGCTGCGCCTGCTGAACGATAGGGCCGCGCAGGACTCATCTGTGGTGATGCACATGCACACATTGCGTGGGGGCTATGCGTCGTTGCAAATAGAATAGGAGACCGCTAAAGGATGCACTTGAATGTGTGCGCCAAAGCACGCGATCCCCACATAAAAAAATAAATGGACTGCAATAAGAAAATGAAGATATTACGGTATTAAACTTCTTCTCACTATCGATCAAAAAAAAGTAAAACTTATGGGGGAAGGGGGGGGGGGGCAGTTAAGCAGCGCGCGCGGTGCACGAAAGCTTTCGGGGCGATACACACTTTGGAAGAGCATTTTTTGTTCTGCGCGCTGCTCACTTATGCGAAGGTCAAACAAGCCGAATCGCATGGCTCAGGTTAAACACGCCCCACTTTTCATCTCACCCGGCAATAAGGTCGGCCGTTGAAAATAGAAACAAGACGCGTTCCGTGTTCTGCTTTTTTTATTACTCTATACTGACTGTTTTTTTCTCGCGCTTAATTTAAAAAACCCGCATCTTTACTAATATGGTAAACTCCGATAAAGGTAGACGCGGTTGTCCCACTCCGATAAGCGAGCCGCAACGGGCCAAACCTAGACTGTGGCGTTGAACGGGCCTTGTACTGAAACTTAAATCACGCCGCCTTGTTGAACATTGTGTGTGCGCTATATATATATATATATATATATATATATATATATATATATATGCACTCACAGGCGCCAGGTAAACTGCTTGCGGAGGAAGTACAGGCGCGAAAAGTAGCGGGTCAGCCGGTGTCTACTACGCGAACTCTTCGGCTTCGGGAGCAGCCGGTAACTCAATTTTCGGCAGCAGCTGGAAAAGTCGCAAGCAGGTTCGAAACCGGGTTTACCTGACCACGTATAATGTTTTATCATGACGAAATCTCTACAGCTAATGAGGGTTTTTCATTCTCGCACTTTTTTCGAAAAAAACAGCGCTCATGTCAACAGAACACACGCTAACAAAAAATGCGCATACATACATAGCATAGAAAATAGGCGTATCCTTCAGTTTTGTCAACAATGGACTCGATTGGTGGTTAAATATCACGTGGTTGTTCGCAAACCGGCATGCAGCCACTTAAATGTAACCACACTGGCTGGCGGAAGGAGTATTTCGGGAATTGTCGAATATCGCAAATTACGCGCAGGGATGAAAATAAAACAACATCGTATAATGGAGATTATACAGGAAAAAATTATTCGCCGTGTCCTGGCAGACCCATGTATACCGACACAGCAAAATCAGAAAACATCAAACGTAGGTAGAATACGTTGATCGGCGACAAGCAACAGTCGCATGTTTTGTCTGCAGGAAATAAAAGCCCGCAACGCAGCACCTTCGTACGTGTTTATATACGCGAGCATTTTCGGCATAAAGACTCGCGACACGCAGTTTTCAGTGTAACTACGAAAATTTTGCAGTGCTGATTTTAGAAGAACACATAAGCAGTCATGCACGAGCGTATGTAAGCTGGAGGCATCCGGTTTCACGCGCGCCTAATGTGGCCCTTTTCCAGAGGTCACTCTCTCTTTCAAGCCACTGCTCGGAACTTAGGGAAAATCAAACAGTGATGCTCAGGTCGTCGAGTTCTGCAAAATATTTCACAGTTCTTAAGTAAAATTAGGCGCGATTCCGCAGCATAGATCGTTCAGTCGGCGCACTCACACATTTCCAGGAATCCCGGCAAAACCAAGTCGCTGCAACTCGTGGGCACTGCTAAAATACTTCCAACAGCCACCACTTGCAGAAGTCCCGACCCTCTGATGAAACAGGGAGTCGAGATCACCGATTGCATGTCAAACGAAACGCGAAGGTCGGCAGTGAAACGGAAGGGAACGAGGAAGCTTTCGGGGCGAGAAGGTCTCGCGAACGCCAAACGCTCGCCATTTTGGCCAGGGCGACTGGATGGATACGGTCATGCGCAGTATTGATCATCCGCGGATGCTGCATGGCAGAGCAACGAATCATATGATGCGGTGTCTGCTACGCTGAACTTAGATTTGTAAGAAACACGCGGAGCTAAGGATTAGCCACACGTAAGAAATAACTTCTCGAGCGTGAGGAAAAACGATAGCAATGCAAGTGCCAGTTATTTACCAACACCGCGGCTCCGTCTTTCGCCAAAAATAAAAGATACGAACCAGCAGAGGAACAATGCAAAATGCGTTAACTTAACGCTGAAAAAAAGGACAGCTTGATGGCTAAAAGTATGACAATGAAGCATATAACGAATTTTAATATGAAAACAAAGACGATACATATGAAGTCATTATACATCAAACTGATAATTTCAAACAGTGTTTACTTGGAATATAGGAGCACGCGTCATCTATGCAATATGTGCAAGTGTGCCGTGTCCACGAGTGAGCGCTTTATTCAAGGCGCCGATTTTGTGAGTAGTTTTTATTACCACTCATGCTTCACATTTTTCTCTCATAGAGCTTCATCGTTTTGGAGCACGGTGTTTTGGACACAAGCACGCGTGGGTTATCACCGGGATCGGCACTTGTTCGGAACGAAAGATGATCAGAATGAAAAATGACAAATTCTCAAGAAATACAGCCACGGCCCCTCGACGCTAATGCCAAGTACGTGCATACATTGCAAATATTCGACTCTATCACTGCTGCTGCACGGAAGCAACGCACAATCAGACACTGAGCAGTACCGCCGTTGAATATAACTGCGCGCCAGCACTAGGATTTCGTGCTTGCTGCTGAATCGGCGAACAGTTGTGCAGCTCTTGCCGCGGCTGCTAACATCACACGCTTCAGCAGCTTGCCCTGTATAAAATGGTATTAACAACGTAAACACACTCTTTCCCATCCTTAAACTTTTTACACAAGTACTGTGCACGGATGCATTACGTAACCCACGCGCTCCATTAACATAGTAAAATAAAATGGCGAAACATCAACCAAGAGGCGCGAGTTAAGAGTATTTTAACGTCATTTAAGGTCTCCCAAAACTTTATAAAAATTCTAGTAGCACATAGCGGGCGTTCTAAATACCCAAGCGGAAACTTTTCCAACTAATCCAGGTCTACGCGACCTCTTCCCGGTAAAAAACTTAGTAAGTAAGTAAGTAAGTAGGTGCTCCTAATCCCTTTTGGCACAGGGCAGGCGCCAGCAGCGCCACAGGACAAAGTTGTGCGCTTCAACGCACATCCATACACACGCACACACACATCACCAGTCAGGCGCTTGCCGCGCCACCGTCAAAAAAAAAAAAAAAAAAAAAACATTTTGTGTTTTACACGCACTTCACGCGAACACGCACTCACACGTTTTCCACTTTACTGTTCGAAGAAAGAAAGGTCTGGTAGTAAATTGCCAGTTTCGCCACCAGGGGAAACGTGCCCTCGGCCAAGTCTATCCAGTGGCGTCGGCGTCGTTTAGATATTTTCTGTCGGCCCTTCGTTGCGCTGGACACTGTCGGGTGTTTGTCCACCTGCCAGCACAGTCTGTCCCAGAGTTTTAGACGTCGCTTGGCACTCTCGGTGTGTTCGACTCGGGTGTCGACGGATCATCTGGGAGACCCAGATATTCCGCCAGGTTTATCTTGGGTAGGCCCTCGCTCCGAGTCCGCGGGCATCCATCAGGATATTGGATGGTTTCTTCCGTGGCCCCGCATAGGCGGCACGACGGTCCGGTGTGCGAACAGTTCCCAATGCCGCTTCCGCGTGGGCAGTGACCCCGTCCTGGCTTGGAACAGGAGGGCGCTTTCCCGGTCGCCCCTGTAAAATGGCTCACGGTCTGGAGCCGCTGCTTGTATTCGAGGTATAACTGTAGGCTCCTTTTCTTTGCCGCCGACGTGCGCCACATCTCTGTGCTGGCTTCGGTTATAGTGTTTTTTGTTATTATACGCCAGTCTCGTTCCGATTTTGCTTCTTCCAGTTTTGTGTTATGGCCGATTTATTTTCCAGAAAAGCCAGTCGTTTCATCCACTGTGTTTTTATGCCCCTGTATCGAAGGTGTAGGTATATGCGCTGGCTGTAATTTGTTTCTGGTAGAAACTTTAGCCGGCCCGCATATTGTATTTTTGACCTTGCTTCGCGTGCTTCGAAAGTTGACCAGGCCAACTCCCCTGTTACTGCTGCGTTTGCTGTTGCAAAGCTGCCTCCCAGTAGCCAGCGCCCCAGTTCATTTTGGTGGCGGTCCAAACATCGCACTGTTTGGGTAGAGTACGCCAATGTGTCACCTGCGTAGGTTATTGCAGGCACGGCAAGAGTCTTCCAAAGTGTGCGGCCTACCCTGTAGGGGTTGTAGGAATGCCGTGACAGGTGCCACACCCTACCTTTTAGGCGGTTGGATTGTTTTAGGAGTAATTCTTGGTGTTTGTCAAGGTAATTCTTTTGGTCTGATATTGTTATGCCTAAATATCTGTATGTTGCTGTTTTCTTGATGGTGTTGCCTTGGATGGTGAATGTTATGTCTTTGTCATCAATGTTTATGCCCATCCATTGTGTTTTGTCAGTGTTGAATGTGAGGCAATCTTCGTGGCTACGCGAGAGCATATGTCGAGGAGATGTTGCAGGTCCGCTGGGGATTCAGCCAATAATACGATGTCATCGGCAAATGCCAAGCATGAAATTTTAGTGTAGATTTCTTGGCGCTCAGTTGTTACGGTGGAAAGACGTAGCCCTGGTCCTTCTCTATTTACTTGTTCTAAGGCTGTTAATGTAAATATTGAATATTGGCGATAGTGGGCACCCTTGTTTAAGTCCAATATTTTGTTGCACCTGTCTAGATTTATATTTGCCCAGTTCATACCTGCCGTACACTCTGCATATAGTGCTTTTAGTAATTGATGAAGTCTTCCTGAAGGGGTCCTTTGGTTCCAGTGCCTTATGTATGCCCAAAACTTCTGACTGTAATGGTTACGATCCTTATGCAGGTTTTCTTCTTCTTTTTGGAATTTGGTCTATCTTTTTTGCGGCCATTTCCTTTACTTTTCTTTTTTGGGCCAGGTATTCCTTCCAAATTACCTCTTTTTCTGTCGACTCATTGGGCGTATGACGGTGCCTTCTGGATAATTCTTTGCGAATGCGAATTTCTGTCTTCAGTTCTCCATCAAACCAAGGTGTGTTTCTGGTCCTTTTTTTTTCACTAGTTTTCCCAATGGTTTCTTGTGCTACTGACAGGCATTTTTCTGCGAATTCCTCGTATGTTAGAGGTTCTGTTAATGTTGACTCGAGTTTATTGGAAAATTCATCCAGGCGCTCTTGCTCTTTCACTCGCCAGTGAGCTTTTGTAGTTTCAGGCCGGTTACTCGATGGGGTTGATGGCGTCTGAGGCACAGTTTCATTCGGTTGTGGTCACTTCCACAGCTGTTTGTTTTGTCTTCGTCTATGTACAGAGCTGTGATGTTTATATCTTGCCTTACTACCTCTTGATTGTAAAGTATGTAGTCTATAGCAGATTTGTTAGCTCTGCGTGACCATGTGTAGGTGCCTTCACAAGCTGGATGGAGGTTTGCTATTTGTAGGTTGCATTGTTTAATTAATTTTCGGAAGCCAGCAGCATCTTTTTCGTGACCATCCAATTCTACTATGTGGCAGTTGAAATCTCCCATCAGTAGTACCGGTTGGCCTTTGTAGGTTTCTTCAATGTCTTTCTTGAGGCATGCGTAAATGCTGTCATTCCACTTTTGTTCCACTTTTGTTCCACTTTTGTTCAACTTAAGGTGCTTCTCACTAGATGGCAGAATGGATCTACAAGCGGCTCTCTTTTCGAGGTAACATACATAACGTTAATATCTATTTTTCTCGCCTTGTGTAACAGTAATTTGATGCGATTCATTTCCGGACAACGTTAGCTATGTGCGGAGCTAAGTTCCGTGACATTTCACTTTGATCTTGACGCTAATTGGCGCTAAAAACGGAGTGCCGATTGCCGCTCGTACACTTGCACATTGACTGGCGCCATGTTGCTACGGCACTACTGAGCGAGCTCGTCTGCGCTGGTTCGGCCAACTGCTGTTAGGCTTACCGTGTAGTGCGCAGGCGTTTGCGGCGCCGGGGACGCCTCCGTAGAAGAGGAAAAAGATCGGATGATTGTCAGCATCAAGCCCTAATTTCTTCTCCACCGTAAGGTCTAAAGGTTGTCGGGCTTTATTTTATTTATTTTTATTTGATGCCGAGTGTCTCGAATCGAACGTGGGCGGGTGCATTTTACGGCGGAAGCGAGTTTCCCTTTTGATTTCAGAACGGGGTGTACCGTTTTGCCGGTATTTCAATCTGTGTTCAACTCGAGGAATGAGCGTTATATTTGCCGTAAGAAAACTGCGATTATTCTTACGAATCCTTTTAGTGGGCGCGACGAGGATCGCGTTGTGATGCGGATAACGTTTAGTTAGAAATGCCCCATCGGTGTTCGATTCGCTAACTTTTCAGATGATCTGCACACTGTCTTAAATCTTGTTGGTAGGTCTTTGATTTACACCTGTCGGTCGCGGCAGTCTCCTTGCACGTTGCCCGTGATATGGGATGATAGAGCGCACACCGTATCGTCATTTATCGTAAATCTGAAGCCAGTGGAGGTGTGGCATGTATACATCGTTGCCAAACTTGAAACCGAACGGACATCGCCTGCACAGATGCTCATTTTCGTGTTACTCGGCATGTAATACTGGTTTAGGTCGTAGTTCTAGTCGCATGTATGTACGTTTTTCGGCTACGCGCCAGGTCTAGCGGGAGCTCCTATAAGGTAGACTGGCTCGTACGGGATTCACTGCCTTCATTCTGTTTTGTTTAGCTTCAATCACGGTGTAAGAAGTAGTAGCTACTTCTTACACCGTGGCTTCAATTCATTCGGTTATGTGTCGGCAAAATGTTTTCTTTCATGAGCTGCTAGGAGTATTTCTGCAGATGCTCCGTTCTTCTGCT